TAGGTCCCCTCAGGTACTGAGTCCCACTTTCGTCTGTGTAACAACTTCAGGAGAATTGGGCTTGCCAGTCCAACTTGCAGAGAAAAATTTCTGAATGTTGTCATTAAAAATCTCATCCCTCATCTCCTTTCTATGCCTCTTCCAAAGCAGAAATAAAAGGATGAGAGTCAGGATCTAAAATACTGGCATTTCAACAGAATATTTGAAAATAAGGAGGTTTCCAGAAAAACATTTGTAGTATTTTAGGGATTTTAAACAGAAGTGGAGGCTTTTTTCTATTCAAAGGTGTCCCAAGTAGATACAATAGGCATTTATTTATATTTTAAGCCAGCCCTTTCGTTAGGCCTTCTTCTAAAAAGTTTTCATTCTTGGAATTCCAGGAAAATATATAAGCAGGAGTACAATATGAACTTGTCCTCCTTTTTCCAAAGGGCTGGTCCTGCCCCGGGTGGAACTACTGTAATACTGTCAGACCAATAGTGGAAAAATGTTTTAAACAACCACTATTTTAAACAAAAGCACAGGGAAAGGCCAAGCAGACATCCAGCTGTAAAGCCTGAAACAAGTAGTGGCGAGGGGAAGCTATTTACCAAACAGCATCAACACTGCAACAGCAAAATCTGCTTCCAGTGCGCTCTCGGTGCTCGCAGACAACGTGGCCCTAAAAAGGGTTGTGGTGAACCTGTGCAAACAATAAATGGTACCAATAGCCAGGGCCCATTCCCCTCCTGTGAACTGAAACCCCGTGAACTGTGAAACTGTGTATATCTTCACAGCATCCAATTGGCCTGTGAAATCAGTTGCCACCAAAGATAATTGAAAGGGGTTTTTATGATTCATAAGACGTGGGAGACTTTGCTATTACAGTGTTGGACAGCCCATAGGTGTATTTGCTTAAAAATGAGGTTTCACAATGTAAAATTCTAAATCACTTTTTTAATTCCAAAAATACTATATAATATAAAGTTTCCCTCTTCTTGCAGTTTCCTCAGGAACAAGAGATCAGAAACAGAATGTTGGGCTGTACAAACTACCATTCTCATACAAACCCCTGATCTTTGTGTGCTACACACTGGGTTATCTGGGAACCCCAGGTCACTCCAGCAACATTTAACAAGAACACTTAACTTCAGTGGTTAATTTTTATACAGTTAACTTCTGCCTCTCACTGAAATAGCTTTGCTTGGGCAAAGTGGTTCTTTGGTGGTTGCGGGGAGGAAGAACATATATCACTGTCTTCCCTTGCTAAGAAATGAAAAGCATATTATTAGTGATGCTCCTGTCTTACAGTCAAAGGACACCACTCTGCATAGAGCCAGGTTAGAGATCAAGCCTATTAGGCAGTTGCATGACCTTTTCTCAGACGGTCCTTTTCTGCCTTTCCCCTATTTAGTAAAATAAATGTGAAGTTCAATAAGGAATATTGCCCAGAAAAGACAGTTGAGGGATTAAGCACAGAGATAAGAATGGGCATGGTCGTGGCATTAGGCATAACTCCAGCTATTCTGTCGTATATATTTCATGCTTAAGATTAGACTTCTGAATTTTTAATCAAAAAAATGTTAAGTGCTCTGCTATATTTTTTCCCAATAACTGACTACACAAGGCACATGCTGGACAAATCTCACACATTCGATTCATGAAGTAATATCACTCCTGAGAAAAAACAAACACCAAATCTGATGCCTTTTCAAGTAGAGTAACTGAGGTCAGAATCTGCCCCTGGGCAATCGTATAGAAAACAGTTAGGAAAGGCCTGTGTATTGAAAAACTCCTCTGCTGCCCTAAACTCAACTCTAGACAATCTAAAGAGCTTAAACACAAAGATATTTCATATATCGGTTCCATCATTTGCTGAAGAAATGTATTACCTTAAAGATCTTGGAAGCCAAAAGCTTAGAAAGCGAGATCACAAATCACTTGCAAGACTCAAGCCAACATCTACACAATAAAACATCTATAAAACAGAAATATTCACACACCTTACCAGCTAACATAGCATATTGTCATGGAAATAAACACATCCCATCTTTGCAAATTCAGTTGTACTTTCCATCTTGAAGATTTGGCTGATGACGATGTGTCTTCAGCTCTAGAGATACAGGGATAGTTTTATAGCTGTCACACAAAGTAAGTATACTTTAGGACACAAGGAAAAACCATACAAGACAAATTAAATCCCATTCAGCTTCATGCAAATCATATATTACCATTAATCACCTCATAGAAAGTGGTCAGATAAGACATGCCATAATTGCTATCAGAGTAGCTGACTTTGAGCCTATTGAGATATTTTTAACCATTAAAGGTGAATTTAATTCCAGCTAATTTTAATAACCCAAAAGCAAGGTGCCTAACCACATCTTGCCATCCAAGGTCTCTCCACAGTGAAAAAGAAAGATGATACATCTGGAGGATGATTCACCATATCGATCTTAGACATCTATTTTAGAATGGGATGAGTCACTCTTTGGATGCACATACCTTTCTTTGGTGATGGATGAAGTCTGGCCACCTGAGTTAATTCAGTTATCAATGTTTTAAACAGCTAATGTGAGGCTGACATAGTCAAAGCCTTGGTCAAAAGTCCATAGAGAAAGGAGACCTGATGGCAATTTGTCAGGTACTATTTCTAAAGAGGTTAGATGTCTTCATCACACTAAGAGGGCCTTTTTCCAAAAAAATCACCATCTGCATAGCAGCTGTTACCTCATTTTAATTATTCATAGCCGCTTGCACTGGGGAGAGAGATAATGGTGTGGGCAGAGATAAGAGTGAGAGCAAAATTTTTTGAATGATTTTGATCTGAGTTCATGGACTGCATACTTGAGGGCTGTCTGAGGGGGTGTAAGTTAACTTGTGACTAAGAGTTCTCATTAAACTGCAGACCAGCAGATGCCAGTATTTCAGACTAACTTACCAAACCACCAGGCAGTACTATCACTAATTAGAGGAAACATTACTCAAGAGACTGTTATCCTGAATCTAGACCATGTACTAATAAGCCAGACAGTGAGCATTTAGATAGCACAACTGATATAATTACATTTCTTTTTAAAGGCCTTTCTTAGGGGTCAATGTACATAATACTCAAGACTTCAGCTGCCAAATTGCTTATATTTTCCTGCAAATCAAGGCTGGGTAAGCTTGCTTGAGGTAATGCAAATAAAGTGTTTTTTAAAGGAGATGACAATGAGCAATTGGCACCATAACAAACAAGAAATGTTTTCATATTCATATACTAAACGTTTTATTCAAAGATGGGAAAAAAAACCCAGGATGAAAAAGGTTTTAAATCCTAGATTTAACAAGATACAAGCCTGTGATGTTTCTACATCTACATCAGGAATCACTTTTGGGGAGAAACTCCATGTATGCAAACATGTGTGGAGAAGATCGCCCTTGGGGTGGAGTAAAGTTCTGAGACTTGCAAAGAAATGTAAGAGGCCTCAGTTTCAAGAAGGTCAGTGCCACGCAAAAGACAGAAGAAAGAATATAAACTTGTTCTAGGACTCAGTCACTGTTAACAGTCCCAGTACTTCCAGCATGGAAGGGCCAGATGAAATCCACATTGAGGTCCCTTTGGTTTCCAAAGATGTGGAATTACAAATAAGGCACAATCTTTTTCCAGCTGAGCTGCTTTCTGCAAATGCAGGGCAAGGTAAATACATGATAAGGGCCTGGGTGGCTTTGAACAACCACAGATAGGTTAAGGACATGTAAAGGAATTTAACACAGAGGCAGGGATAAAAGTAGCTTCCCCTATCAAGCCATAGGCAGTTTGAATCTTTCTCCTTGTTTCTCTCAGCATAAGCTTAAAGTTTAGAAAAATCAGAAGTAGGGACTTGACATAGTGCTTATTATTTTACTCCTGAAGTAGAAGCAGCAGCAGTGTTTGATTACATTTACCGCATACGGCACAGCCTGCTTTCTACTCTCACTACCAGTACTAATTTTGCTCTTCAACCAGGAGCTGAAAGTTTCCATCTTGAATGGTTTTCAGAGTTACTGCCCTGAGCTGCCGGAAACAATGAATTCTTTGCTCAAATGACATGAGGAGGGACCATGCTGCAGCTGAGGGAAGCATGGTGGTTGGCCTAATTCCTGCTCTAATTCTGTCCTTTATGGCAGCTGGCACTTCACAGCAAATACTGTCTTGGTCGAGGGCAAAAGAAACAGCTCTTTTTATTAATTCCTACCCTCTAGGAAGGCATGTGCCAGCTGGTGAACTAAGGGAGGCTGAACTTTACCTTTACAAATGCCAAAGCTTGAATTTTAGGCACTCGGGTTCAAGGGTTTAGCTCTGTTCAATGTCTCGTAAACAGTACTTTTTTTTCTGGTTTTCCAAAGGATGCACTCTTCCCAAATCCTGTCCTTTCTTGCTATGTAGGAGATGACTTTGACAAGGAACAGGTCCTGTGAAGTGGGTAGGGACTGCACCTACAAGTTAGACCTTAAGACTTATTTGGCCCTACGTACTGAAGGGTGATCATCACTACACAACAACTATATTGTAACAAAATGCCTACTCAAAACACTGTCTACTGATTGCAGTCAACCCTGAGGGTCAGTTTAGGAAAAAAATGTGTAAAGGGAATGTGGAGAAATTTATCTTCTTTCCCCTCACCCTCTTTTTTTCCAGGAGAGTCTATCTGACAATGTCAGATATGCACTGTTACACTTCCATGAACAACGGTTTTCCAATTTTTGTTTTGAATCAAAGGACATAATTGAATTTTGCACTTCTGAGGATGAAAGTGGTGATGGAATCAGAAAAATATGTAGATTTTCAAAACCCCCTATGCAGGTCTTCCTCCTGCTGTAGTACTACATCCTTCATGCTGTAGTATTCGATCATAAATATTAGTGATAGCAGCAAACCCTAAAACTACTAATGTGCACTGCAAAAAAAAAAAAAAAAAAAAAGAGTAAACATTGTATGTTGCATCACATGACAGTAAATTGCTTGAACAATTATAGAAAAATTAATTGTAACAAAATAAGACTTCCTGTTGTTTATTAGATATTGTAAGAATGAAATGTACAGTATACAAAATTAATATCAAAAATGTTCACATGATTGATTTTTCTTTGGATTAACTGCAGAGAAGCAGCTTTTAAAGACGTCATGCTGAGATCTATTTTCTACTAAAAGATCTCAGGTGCATCACTGCATGCTATCTACAGTTTTAATCTACAAAATGAAAGCTATTGAATTTTTGCTGAATCTCAGTGGCATTTTTTGAAAAAGAACAGAACAATAACATTAGCTTAGAGGAGAAAAAATAATGTTAATATTTGAAATTCATAAGCAAAATTGCTTTTGAAATTTCAAACCTTACAATTGTACATTTTCAGTTTCAAGCACTTGCCATAAGAAGTTACATTCTACTATATAGGTGACAAAGATTTTGAATTTTGTTTTTCTTTGAGACAGATACATAATCCTCATTTTCTTTTTCCTAATGAATTTTCATATCTTTAAAGTTAGTGTTAAACAACGTTCAGTCTCCTAAAGAAACAATTTAAGTATGGTTCATTTCATAAGCTGAAAGTTTTCATTTAAGGTATATCTATATAAAGGAATGTAAAATGGTTTTCATTTTTTAAATCTGTGCATTTTCAGTTTATGTCATATTGTTTAGCAGAAAAATAAAGTAACTACTAATGACTAATCTAGATAACCTAAAATCAGCCGATCTGTTCCATAAAATGCTTGCCATAATGCTTTTCACTGCAATATAAAATACACTAGAAAAAAATGAAATTATTACCAGGGAATATTACATGGTTATCAGTGTTGATAACGCTTCCCAGATTAAAAAAAAAAAAATAAAAATCTTTACATGAATTTCTTATACATGCTCTACTTAGCAACAGGAATATGATTTAAACTGAAAATTCTTCTCGTATTGTCCAAACAATTTTTTTTTATAGACTCTGAATGTATTTGCACAATTGCAATGCGTTCAAAATAGTGACCTACTGTCAGATAAGTTGTCAATGATTTAAAACAGGAATGGGTGCCTGACAAAGGGTGGGCCAGCCTTCCAGAACAAAACAGGTGGCGCTCTTTCTCTTGAGGTGTCACTAACGTAAATCACCTTTTAAGTTGGCACATATCACAAGAACCCTTAAAACAATCCCTGTGAATGAAAATGAAGACAAATCACAACACAAAAGATGCAAAACCATTTTTCCAGAATTTAGGAGAGTCCAAAAGTATTTGTGCTCTCTTTTGCATTAAACTGGTGAAATTCAGTGGATTGGCTATTTTATTTTTAAGAGATAAACTATTAAAATCATCTTATGCTGGGAACAGCTGGGCTTGCTGTTTTCTTTCCTTTTATGTGTTTTGTTTTTTTTTTTTAAGACCATTGGCAAGAACAATCTGTGGGCTCTTGGATTGAATAGCTGACCCAGGTTGAGTTACTGGTGCAGTACAATTGCACAGTCCGTCTCTGCAGCCCGAGCTCCCTGCAGCATTTGCAGAACCTTGCATACGTGTTGATGTTGTAGTTGTAAATGCTTGCAGAAGGGCACTTCCCGTCGCATGAAACAATGTTCACCTGGTAACAAACATCATGAATAATCAGCAAACTGAAGCAGCTAGCTAGGAGTTCTCAAAGAAGTCCAAAAACATTAGGCATCCCAAATCCAATGGCAAAGCAATGAAAAATTTGGAGGTATTTCCTCTAGCCCCTTATGAAATCCCACTACATCTCAAAATAAGCTCTGAAGTACATTGCCCAGACAGGTCTCAATTTTTATCCTACTGATATCAATGATGACTTTTCTGTCCACTTCAGTAACAGGTTTTGGCTATTAACAGACACAAAGAAACAATTCTGGTTTTGAATTTTAAAGTATTCATAACAACCTTGGCTTGAACACAGCACCAAATGTTCTGTCTCCAACTCCCTGCAGTATTCATTTCAGTGATACACTGATGCAGTGTTGCTGTACTGGTATCAGTAAGCAGGAATAAAAGAACCAATCCTTTGGAAAGCCAAGAGGAATTACTACTAATGACACCAAATCTGTAATACAGACTGTAAGAGAAATAGTCATAGAAACGGAATAATTTTTTCATATTTAATAGTTAAGATTCGTGTTTCTGTTCAATGAGACACTGAGACTAAATTTCCTGGCTGCTCAACAGCTTACTCTACAAAATGTACTCTCAGAGTCATTTTAGAGGTTACAGCTGTTTCCCTACACTCTTTTATTACAGCTTTTCCAGGCGCTCTTACACATCTCACATGAGACGTCTGTCTGCACCCTTGCTGCTGCTCACAGTCTTACTGCCCAGCAGGACATTGCTGGTGTCCTTCGACAGTAAATCCTTCGATAGTGCCTCATTCTTCCCTCACATTTTACAGTATGTTCATGCTGCTGTCTAAAAAAAGCTTTCAGGACCCAAGATTCCTTTCTTCATGAAGTTGGCATTTAAATACTTTCCCTGGGCAGATGGAAAATTATACACATCTGCAGCCGTTTTAAATGTAGAATATCAGGGGCAAGATTCAGTTATATTGAAGTTAATTTGCATATAATAATTGCATTATAGGGTGAAATGAGACTTTGGATTTGCACTAAATCAACGTGCACCTAGATGCATAAAAAAAGCAGAAGTAACAGCCTCCTTTTTATTATTTGAGAAGATGATTGCTGAGAATGTAGGGAAAGATTAAAACGGCTCTATGAAACAGAAATCCCTGTCTCTGTAACAGAGATGAAGACAACAGCCTTCTGGAATTTGGGTTCTTTTTCTTCCTTCATTTTATTTCTCATATTTTTTCCCTTCTATGAAAAGAAATTGTGATAGTTATCTACTTACTGGTGTGTTACTCCTGCAGTCGTTCTTGCGGATAGTCATCCTAACAGTCACCTTCTTACAGAATTTTCCATCTTCCTTACCTGCAAAATGGTCATAGATCAAAAAATATCAGCTCAAAATTCTAAACATTTCCAAGACGAGAACATTCCTGAACATTTTACTGGGTCAAGAGACGCAAAGAAGATACCCATCAGCTATATACTGAATCACTTTTAAAACTATTTCATGCATTAAAGTATCCATCTCATTATATCTTTAATAACAATTACAAAAGGTTCATTCTTCATTCAGAAGTTTTTTAAGAGTAAGTCCACTGTGTTCAAAAAATTTTGCAAAACTGATCAACCACTCCTGTGAGAAGACCTGTTAATAAGGCATAAAGTGCATTTTCTATTAAATACCTGCAACAAACTTTAATAGCAGTAATTGCATTCCAGAGGTATAAACAAAGTTTAAAATTAATATGCGACAGCAGAATCTGATGAAGAACAGGGCTTCAGGGGGCTTTACATTTGGGTTTATTATGTTTTTATTAAATAAAAGAACACCAGTGAACAAACGAAATTTTTTATTTGCATTTCCATTATTTCCACAATTTTCCTCATAGAAGTATTTACAAAGTACATGAATAAAACACAAAAGATAACAAGAAATCACGGAATTAAGTACGGAGTTAAGCTTCATTGAAGAAGGGAATCCTGAACATCTGAAGAAAAACAAAGATGTTCAGTATAAAGTTCAGTAGTAAGAGATCAGGAAGCACAGTGTCTTCTTAGGATGACCCTCTCTATGCTGGAGAAACCCCATTATACTGCAGATCTGTAAGAGAAATGAACAGCTCATTTTAATACAACAGCTTCCACCGTTTCACACTAGATTTTATGCATCTTGATGCAGCCCCCAATGACATCTCCACAGAGATGTGTTTTCTTTCAGTCAAGAAACCCAAGGATGTTGACAAAAGGTGAATACTGTTAGCTCCAGAAAAGCAAGGGCACTAAAGGATTCATCAGTTTGACCAATACCCAATACTGAACTGGGACACAGTTTTATCATATCTTTATGAGCAGTATCCAGTTCCCTGCTCTAATCACTGTCAAACCAGTAATACTGCTTCTCAAAAATAAACAATTTTTTTTCTTTTTTTTTTTTGGTTGGTTGGTGGTTCTGTTGTCTTTTTTTTTTTTCTTAAATTATCTAAGTCTCTTACTGTTTCTAGACACAATAGAGTTTTCTAGACTATGAAAGAAACTATCAGTAAATCTTCTTGGAAACAAATAAAAACCTGCAAACGTAAATGGTTGGCTACTGCTTGGCTGCTGTTGAATTATATTTGCTTAGTGAAAAAGTAAATTGAGAAACAAAGAAAAAATAAATTGGTCTTGAAAATAAAAAACTCACCGTTATTTCATGTTTTTCACAGTTCTTTTCACGGTTCTGTCTTCTTTTACATTATACATGGTGTTTAGGGTGGAGAATTCAGTGCAGCTGTGACTATGACTTCACCCAGGCTACAGTGAAAGTACATCATATCCCATAAAAAATAAATATATAATGTATTTCCATGCATGTACATTAATGTCCAGTGGCTTTTTATGAGCTTTACAACACAATATACTTTCCCATGAACAACCTTACAAAACATGTGAGTGTTTTATATGTGTTGTATTATAGATTTTTTTTCACTGTCCATATGGTTGAAAATCCTTGTTTGGTTTTTGGGTTGACTCATAACACTGTTGTCACTTAAAGTGACACCAGTATGAAAGAGAAACACAGATTTCAGTTTAATAGTCCTAGAGTCAGAAGCATAATTTAATGTAGGATGTGTCACTCAGTAATGCACAGAATTAGAGTCAACATCATTTCTCTGAGAGAAATATAGAGTTGTTTTCACAAAATAAATGCCAAAACAAATGCATTCATAATGTTACAATTCAAAGAATTAACATGCTCTATGAAAAAGAACAAAGATAATCTCCAATTTTCATGGAGTCAACACTGGATTGCTATTTTCAGTATACTGTCCTAACTATGGATGGGAAAGAAATTATTTGCTTCTACTGTATATGGCACAAAGCAAACCTGTATGATACATCACCTGCAAAAATGCTGCTTACACAGTAAAGCTTTAACAAGCAAAGCCATTATTCTCTATGTTCTACAGCACTGTAAACATGATAGAATTAGTTTACTTTTTCAAACACAGCAATTTTACACATGCAGCAAGCTAAAGACTATGCAAGTGCTTACTACCAACAGTACATTGTTGGCTAACAACAATGCACCGCCCACACAGTGCAAAATGAAAAAACAAATCAAAACAAAAATGTGAGCCACTGAACCATGAGCAGTTACACTACACTGCAGCTTTTGGCATTATTGGGCAATGTGAGGTCTGATGATCCTAGCAGGGAGTACATTGTTGGAAATCAACAATGATGCTGTTTGGGTTGGTCCTACCTATATGAGGAAAATGTACCTGTGTGACAGCCAGCATAGGCTGTAGGAGTGACTGGGCTAACAGGGAATGGGAGGAACACTGACACTGAAGAACCTGGTAAGAATATTACACATTGAACAGAGCACATGTTACAGAGGATTCCCTATAGTATGAAAACATTTGGGAATTATGAGATTTTGGCATATTTGAAAACAGAATTCAACTTTAAAATGTTTGTATATTGCAGGATCACAGAATGGCTGAGGTTGGAAGGGACATCTGGTTCCTCCTTGCTTAAGCAGGGTTCATTGTGCCAGCAGCTCAGGACCATGTCCAAGCATTACATGCATTGCTAAGCCTCATGTGAAAACCAGATCTACAGAGTCTGATCTACATAGGTATAACTTAGCCAATCTGCTATCCTGAATTTAATGTGCCCTTCAGGGCTACAACAAAGAAATAGTATAATTTCCTCTCAGCAGCATTTGTAATACCTCCAGGTTTTGATGGAACTCCTGGGTCTTAATTTTCAAATACCAATTAAAACTGAAAACAAAAATCACAATTGTTTCTAATGGTAAAGTACTTCAGAAGAAAACAAAAAACCCAATAATCCTTCTCATAAAATGTCTCACACAATCACAACTGACAGCTCTCATGACAGCAGATTTGTTTGGAGTCAGAATGAACTTACATGATTCACAGAATTAATGTGTTGTCTACCAACAGGTGTGAAATCAAAACGCTAGGACTCTACTTGTAAATGCGTCTCAAAAGTCACTGGGTTTTTCAAGGGTTTAATTTTACTTTGTTATGCATGCCACAGATCAATAATTTAATAATTAAAGGGGTGATTATGATGTTTCTCTAAGCGTAGTAGCAAGATCTTCTGCCCCGCTGAAAAGTAGCTTAATGGATGTTTAACTGTCTTACTAAATCTTTCAGAAGTGGCTTATTTGCCTGCCAGGGCATTGAAGGGTAATGTCAGATAATCAAAAACTGATGTCAGAGAGCCTATGGAGAATCAGTCATGGAACTAGGAAAAGTGCTTGAAACACAGGTCCACCAGAGTGAAAAAACATGAAGAGATATTACCATTCCCTTATAGTGGGAGCATAAAAAACTCCCCAGATAAATCTTCAATCAAGTTTTTAGTACCAAATACAATACAGATGAACCACACCAAAAGGTACCTCCCTGTTGGCAACGTATATCCAGATCTGGTAGTCATGACTCTGCAAGTTCCATCCCACCCAGCAAGAAATACCTGCACTTTTCTCCATCTTTCTCCCACACTTTTAGGTCACTATTTCAGCCCCTTAAGCAGATTGAGTCAGAATTTTGCATGTTTTTAAAGACAGCATGATACTGCCCAGTATAAAAATCTCCTTTTCAATTGCTTTTAACAGTGTCAACTTCAAATATTTGAGTTTAAATTCATCGGGTTAGGTGTCTTCCTCAGGCTAAGTTCTTCATTAAATCAACCAAAACGTTTCAGCTATGTACCACTGTGTTAAGAAAATAAAACGTACCTAACTCCTTATTTCTATTAAGAAAATAGTATATTTGGAACCTATTCCTTAGAGGATTTTTATTCTGTTTGGGTTTTTTTTTCCCCAGAGAATCTTTATTAGCTCTCACAGATGTCCAAACCATATATTGGTAATCGAGTAAGGGGGAATTTTCTTATTGTAAAATCTTTGAAAAGGTACTGCCTGAATCCTTAATCTTCATTCGCGAAGCCTAGCCACAGTGATGACTGCCTGAGGGTTTCTGAATTATGTCTACTAATTTCTATATTACAATCTTTTTATTATTTACAAAATTAACTTATAAACTACTTGGATCAATCTTCATTTTTACCAAATATGAAGATATTTATGTAGATGAAGCATTAAGTTGCCTTCTAAAACACAGTACCTTTATTATACTAAATGCAGTAACTAATATTTTGAGGAGTTTTACATGAGAACTACAAAATAAAGAGTATGAATTTTAATGACTTGACCAACCAGAATCGCTGTCAGTGGAGTAATAGCATCAATGGTAAAGTATTTTCTTTTGATTTAACTCAAATAGTTTCAGTGTAATTCAAATGAGTAAAACTGGGAAAAGCACAGTCTTTGAGATCAGTGAATCAAGCTTTTATACAGGAAAGAATCCACCTTATTTCTAACATAACAACAAATTAGACAGACTTGTGAGGCAGGCAGCATCATTAATTACTTACATGTTTTGCAGCATCCTTCTAAGAATGGCACAACGTAGCCTCCAACCTGACCAAGAGAAATAAAGGGGAAAAAAACCTTCATTTTTTCAAACATTCATTCCCATATATCTTCACTCTTAGAAATATCTTCCAGATAAAGCTCTACATCATTATTCAGGCAAATGCAGCATTCTGGTTAATGGATGAAGGTATGGTTGTAAATGATCTCACTTTACTGTTTTCACACAGGTAGCTTTCACCAAATGCCACTATACATCACCAGCTACCCAAATAGCTCCCCCATTTGGAAAGAGAACGACTATGTTAAGTCTGACTCCATCACATGTTATTAGAGTGAAACCCTGACCTCTTGTAGAGGCTGACAATCACAAAAACCTGAATCTGACTTCAGAGCAGGAAGAAATCTCATCTGAATGGGAAGCCAATGACTCCCCATAGTGGAGATTCATGTCTTAATGCTGAGCAATAAGCACTCCCCAGAATACTGTGGGAAGAGTACCTACAGCTATATTAAAAGCTTTCTCAGGATTACATTGAAGGAGAGTTCAATTTTTGATGTCCAACTCAGCATCTCAAGCCATGCTAATCCCTCTCTCCGCCTTAACTTTTTAGTTTGCCTAGAACAGCAAAAAGCCTTTCACCAGCTATGTAACAGACTCTCTGCAGAACCAACCCATTGTTATCTGCAAGGAAAAACTACAGCCACCCAGTTCCTTCAGGACTCTTCCCCGCTTCTGTGACATCGTTCATCAAGGAAAGTCTTCCCATCCACATGTAAATGCAGAATTACAGAGAGCGAGATCACTCCCTGCCTACATTTCCTGGCACTTAACCTAATCTCATTATGCAAATTCAAATAGAACTTTTCTTCTTACTCCAAAACTAGTCCATAAAACTTTATGTGTCAGTACTTAAAAATTGTTCCTGATATTCAGACAATCTTTCCCTTTCTTCTATGTTTTTGACTATTGTGCTGAATCAAATCAGTTTGATACTGGATCAGTTTTCATACACAGAAAATCAGTCAGAAAGGACACATGTCCACCTCAGAAAAGCATCCAAGTTCACACAGCTGTATGAAGACTAGTTTGATATTACAAGCCTCTATTAAAAAAATAAAAATAATTGAATTCTGAGAATAAGAAGACATGACTCCAGCTGCGTAACTGGGCAGACTGGTGGTACATTATATGTGTATGGTTATAACTTTTTACCTTTAAATGGCCTGGCAAGAATATATAATTTCTCCCTTCTTGAGGTAAAAAACATTTATTGTCAGTGTTAATCTTTTCACACCAACATAAACCACAGCTGGAATGCAAACAATGTATTGTACACTGACCTTCACACATTCAGTTTCATTAAAGGGTGGGCAGCCAACTGCAGAGGAAACCAGAACTGGTCCTATTGCTGTGTTAGTGCATTCATATCTGATGCAGTTTGAAATCCAAACAGCACCAGGCTGTCAAAAATTGTAAAACAGAAATTTTACTGGGTAACTCAGCAAAAACAGTATTGCAAGTATGCCTAAAACAGTTTCATTGAATGTGATCTTGCATGAATCAACAGTCAGATGCATGTTAAAGTTCTGTTTAAGCAAGAGATTTGAAAGTCCACCAAATACATAACATTAAGCAGGTTCTAAAATAGTTGAGTTCATGATAATTCTCTGATATACATATAAAAATCCCTGATACTTTTATTGACAGCTGTATGGTTGACTCTCCAAGAAATTAATGTTGTGTACATGCAAAACTACTCCTAGTATCTGGCCAAATAAAGCTCTTTTGGGCAAATTTTATATGGCAACATGCATACAGTATTTCAGAATTTTTTTTGTTTAATTATAAATATTTTGAAGGAATAAAACATGTATAAACTCACCTTAAAATTGGAAACTGTGCCATTGCTGAAAGTGTGGAGACAAGACAAGTTCTTGCAGCTACCACAGCAAGTTGTTAAATCTTTTGGAGGCTGATAGACTTGGTTCTGCCAAAATAAAACAGATTACTCCTTGTATGAGACTATTTTGCAATTCAACATTTTGTTATTGTAACAGGCAGATTTTTTTTTTAGGTATCTGATTTTAGGGATATTTTTTAAATAACTTTCAAAACTGCACAGCTTACATTCATACACACTGTACATTCATGAAGCTTTCATGAAATACCTTTGTTCTTAACTGAAGTAAATGGGGAGAAGTTCCAACTGAGAGAATGAACTGGTCTATCTACCATTTTTCAAATGTAAAGTGACAACTTACTTCAAGAACCAATGAAATTTTGACTTTTTACACATCTATATAATATTCCTATGGTAATGTATCATTTTGTAAAAAGACAATGTAACATTTGCTTATTTTATAAAGCTGTTTTCACAACTTTTAGAATTCTTATTCTATTTATAATTACTCTCTTCTCTACTCCTATTGAGCTAATGTCTGCCAGGAATTTGTACCAGTTTGCTCATAATGCAGCTGAAGTTCTGCAGGGTGCAAGGAGGCAGTATGCTATTAACCCAAGGAGGTAGTTTCTATATACATTAGTTTGTAAAAGATGTACATAGGGGAGAAAACAGTGAAGGCAGTGAGACTTTTTATAAACTTCTATTAGAAGTTTGGTAGCACATCATTAGAGGGAGATCTCCTGGTTACTCTTTCCAGCTTGTTCCTGTGACTGTAATCTGCTCAACAAAACCCATCACAATGTAATTAAGACCACCAGTTAAAATACACGTCTGAATTTCTTACAGCTTTGCACTTGACGGCACAGTCTATCAAAGATGTGTTTATTTGGTAGTATTTAGTGGAGGGATCAATCACATTTGTACAATAAGAAATACGGCAAATGCCATCTGCACTGTGTTCCACGATTCTCTGTCCAGGAAGCAGCACACCTCTCTCATTACTCAGGCAAACTTTGTCTCTCACTACAGGAAAACACAAACAGCATGGTCAGGACAATCAGCTTGGTATGAAAACTCCATTAAAAATGTTTCAAACAGTAAAACCAGAATGGAAAAAGCTACTCCACCTCATTAAGAATTATGGATCACATTCTCAAACATGAATTGCTAGTAGTCTAATGCTTCCCTATAATCACCAAATTATTTCAAGTATAACCCTGCATGAAATCTAAATAAGCACATAATATTCTATTACCTGCACCACCCCAATGACAGTGCAGGCTTCTTCAACCGTTTTGTTTCTTAAGACTACATCAGGATAATGTCTATTTCTCCCCACCGATTACTGAGGGCACAGAGGATAATCAGGTCAGAAGTATACATCTTTATTGCAGAAATCTAAGCAAGGACAATCCCAACTCTCTTGGCCAACTGGGTGCCCCACAGGAATTATTTTTTCTCCCAGTTTTCCCAGACACTATTTGCCACGCTTTAAGATGAACTCACATGGTGCTGAATGCTATTCCTGATCTTGTAAAGTGTGTAAGCATGTCTACCAGCTCCTGAGTAGTCTCATAAGGGTTAGTGGGACTTATTTCTATATGTGGACATTGTATGTGTGTTCTAGTTTCTTGCTGGAGTCCTTGCTTCTTAGCCAACACCTCTCAACCATCCCAAAACTGTCTGTTATTTCCCTGCACAAACTTCTCGCTGCAGGAACTAACAGAATACAAGGACAGGCCACAATCAACCAAATATTTAGCGAGGGGTCCTATTTTCTTGCCTTTTCTTTCACTATTTCTGAATTCTGTCAGTTAATTCTTTTCTCCTTGGTGCCATGTTCAAAGTGAACACCTGATTCTTAATTTACCTTAGCACTTGAAAGGGTATTTCTTTGAATTAATTTATTTTCTGACTTACCACATTTGTACTTCACACAGTTACAAATATTTTCTGTGCTGTTCTGAAACTGTTCATCTATCTGAAGTTTCTGCCCCTAAGAGTACAAAAGCAGAAAAAAAAATGAAACTACAGTGTTTTCTTATCTGTATGATCTTTTTCTTTTAAACAACTTTTCTTCAGAACTTGGGTACCAGTATCTCTTGCTCCTAGAAACCTATTTTGAATCCACTTTCATCACCCACAGAGACATTTAACTTACTAATAATAACCAAATGGGATTTTTTTTTACACTCAGTACAGCAGACATTTAGGACAGAAAAAAACTAAGACTGGTCAACAATGAAATGCAATGGCCTGCCTTTGTACAAAAGTCTCCACATGGTGTGGAGTGTATTCTTCCAGAGCATAACTTAATGGATGTAAACAGTATCACAATAGCACAGATGTACTTTTTAATTTTGCCTTTTATTGTTTTTGTGTAGGCACAGTATGATTTTTCTCCTATGGTTATGCAAGTTCTGATTCCTCATGCCCAAGTTTCTTCATCTAAGAAATGAAAGTACTAACAACAATCTCACCTTACAAACCATATTGAATTTTCTCTATAAAAAAAATGAGTACTCTTTCCAATTTCTTCCTAGGACTCAAAATTATAATTTTTATAAATTATTCCCACAGTAATATTATTTTCTGGATAAAACAGTGACAAGCAAAATCCAAGTACACCCAGTATTAACTGGGAATCTAGCCCAGGAATGCTAATAAGCACTTTTGTAATGGAGAACAAGTCACAATGAAATACAGTTTAAAGGTGCTGTTTAGTCAACAGTCTAAGTTCATGATAAATGTCAACATATTCACAACAAATATTAACAAAACACTGATGCACTAACGCATTTAATTCTAACACTTTAAAATAAAAATTTTATCCTTGGGTGCACAAAAGCAGTTCCACTCTACTCCACTCTACACTCCGGTAGTAAACTCCAGAAATACCAATGCTATACAATCATGTTATTCTGCAAGGCATTCAAACTAAACTGGCTTCTTAAAAATGTATATATCTTATTATGGAGCAATTAAAAAAGAAAACAAAGAATGATGTGGCATTTCATATTTCACTGACAAAACTATTAGTAAGATGCTGATAAACAGACTTATTAAGAAATTAATAAAAGAATACTGACAAAGAAGACAAATTTCATACCAGTTGGCACTGAGGTTTGGGGATTGTTTCACATGCGCATTCTGAAACAAAACATAATAACAGAAACAGTAGTTTAGCAAGTTATATGCCCTTTGTGTAAAACAGACCATCAGAGAGAACAGAAATTCCAGATTTAAAAGTCATCACTGAAGAAGTTCTTGAAATATACCCACCTGGGGAGTTCAGAATCATGTTTGATGTCTATGCCATTCTGAAAACTAATAGCAGCTTCTCTGACCCCCTTTACTCATTACAACAGTCGACAGCAGAGTATCAACTGCAGTTCACCTGAACATATTAAAAAAATGATGTCCATGCTAGCTGCTGACCTCCTTGAAGTGGTGACAATCATTACAATCAGTATAAAGCAATTGAGAATTGTGTTTAAGGCATCATAAAGATGTATGATACATATGCTACAGTCATTGTAAACTGGCAAATTCCTGACCTGTGAACCTAACTTCTTTTTTTGATAGACAAAAATAATTGACTAACTGTGGTGGGTTGAGCCTGGCTAGATGCCAGGTGCCCAGCAAATCTGCCCTATCAGTCCCCTTCTCAAATAGACAGGGGAGAGAAAATATATCAAAAGGCTTGTGGGTCAAGATAAGGGCAGGGAGAGACCACTCACCAAATACCATCATGGGCAAACTAGATTCACCTTGGAGAAATGAACTGAATTTATTACCAACTAAATCAGGATAGGATAATGACAAATAAACTCAGATTTTAAAACCACCTTCCCATCATCCCTCCCTTCTTCCTGCGCTTAACTTAACTTCTGATTTTTTCTACCTCCTCCCTGCCTGCTGTGCAGGGAGATGAGGAATGGGGGTTGCAGTGATTTCACTACATATTGTCTCTGTCATTACTTCCTCTTTAGGGGAAGGACTCCTCACTTTCTTCCCCTGCTCCAGCATGGGGCCCCTCCCATGGGAGACAGTTCTCCATGAACTTCTCCAGTGCGAGTCCTTCCCACGGGCTGCAGTTCCTCACAAACTGCTCCAGCATGGGTCCCTTCCATGGGGTGCAGTCCTTGAGGAACAGGCTGCTCCAGTGTGGGTCCCTGATGGGGTCCACAAGTCCTGCCAGCAAACCTACTCCAGCATGAGCTCCTCTCTCCATGGGTCCACAGGTCCTGCCAGGAGCCTGCTCCAGCACTGGCTTCCCATAGGGTCACAACCCCGTCAGGGATCCACCTGCTCCAGCATGGGGTCCTCCACAGGCTGCAGGTGGATCTCTGCATTCCCATGGGCCTCCATGGGCTGCAGAGGCACTGCTGCCTCACCACCATGGTCTGGATCACAGGCCGCAGGGGAATCTCTGCTCCAGCACCTGGAGCACCTCCTCCCCCTCCTCCTGCACTGACCTTGGTGCCTACAGGACTGTTTCTCTCACATATCTCTTTCTCTCACTCTTCTCTTTGGCTGCAGTTGCTGTCATGTAGCAACTTTTCCACCTTCTTAAATACACTATGCCAGAGGTGCTACTACCATCGCTGGTGGGCTCAGCCTTGGCCAGCAGTGGGTCCGGCTTGGAGCCAGCTGGCATTGACTGTACTGGACATGGGGGAAGCTTTTGGCAGCTCCTCACAGAACCCGCCTCTGAAGCCTCCACCCCCACCAAAACCTTCCCATGCAAACCCAATACAAACTCCTACATTTTCAAGATGATAAATCACCCAGTTTGGACAGCAAATTCTACAGGATGCTATTCAACCTTTTGAAGCAAGAAAAATCAAAACGGGTAGATTAGGAAGTTCTGTACTGTGAAATGACTTTGCTACATTATTTGTCCATGAGCAGATCACAGTGGTTGAGCTGGCTGACACCAGACTCAAAACCAAGAGGCCAAAGCTGTTTTCAATATCTTATTGTCTAAGGCAATAATAATGAAAATCAGTGACTTTACCACATGTCCGAAAGGGGCAGCACTTCTCTGGGCTCCACACCTCCACCAAAGACATGCCCAGCATACACTTGAATTCAGGACAACGATGTATTTCACAAACTAAAAATAAAGAAAAGAAAGTTCAGTAAATGCAAGGTTGTCATGTTTTGATGAATAGAATTATGAATCAAGATATAATAAATTACTTATAATAAATACCTTTAGAAAACATCTTATTCAAAAAGACAACAGAAATTTAATTGTTAGATATCAGGTGATGGTAGCATGGAGTACAAATACTCTAAGCAAATATTTAAATAGTTTTTAAATATCCTGAATTTGGGGCCTGAATTTACTCATTTTTCTCCATAATACAGATATTCAGATGATGCTTTACACACAAAGTTTTAAAAGTAAAGATTATTTGTTCAGGACTACAGATGATAGCATGCTTATATGCACAAGGGGAGCAGTATTTCTAATCCACAATTTTTGGCACTGAACCTCCGCACTACAAAATTGACATGCTCTCTATTATTTAGAATATCAAAATCAAGTCAAAACTTACTACATTGGTACATAGGGCAACACCTGTCAGTAGTGTTGCCATCCACAATAAGAACTTCTCCTTCTTGACATTTGGGTATTTGATCGGAGCAAGCCGGGCATGCTGAAGAAAACAATTATTTAAATTTAAAACATAGGAAGAAATTTTACTACTGCCTACAAAACATAACCATAAGTTTATCACAGACCCACATGAAAGAGAACAGAGGTGCTCTGCATTCATTCCTTATAGTCCCTATACAAGAGGCTAATTCACAGTGCAGCTTGCCTTTTCCTTTGTCCCCTGCTATAAAGAATGAATACATTGTGACCAAACATGATTTTCCCTCCCTTTTTTGCTATGAAAAATTTTGCTAGGTTTTCTCTCCTACTAGCTCATACTGTTGTTTTCTGGAATCTTTGATTCAAAATAAAGGGCATCTCCTGTGATCCCAGTGTTATCTTCCCACTTGAACACATATGAAAACCACAACATGTACTTTTCAACATGTACAGTATAAAGACTCATTATATCAAAAAAGAGTCAGAAGAATGCTCTGCAGATAGTGAGAAGAGCCAAACACTGCACATTGCTATCACATGATCAAAGTAATCCCCTGATTACTGTAAATAACAGAAGTGTAATTTATGTTTTTTATTAATGCCCGAATTTTTGCACATGGAAGTGCTAATCAAGGCAACTGGGCCTTTGAATCACAGATATCTGTGCAAAGATAAACTCAATAGAACCTGATTATCACATTATTATGCAGAAGACAACTGTATAGTAATATCGGGGCTCTTATACTAATGCCAAAAGTGCAATTTTATTATTGAATTAAGTCATTAAAGGCCAAATCCCAAAAGACCTGAATAAATTTGCATATTACTCTCATATGGCATATTTGTCATTGATTAAGATGGACCATGGCTGATACAGCAGAATATAGGGAGTAAAAGCATATATAACTTCAGTCTTCTTTCAGACAAAATATTCATGCAGCTAATCCACACATGGATCTCAGAAAGCCCTGAATTCCTTCACTCCTCACCCATGGACTCCATTACCACTCCTCTTCATAACCCATGAATACTATTCAGTTACACAAAGATGTTCTGTGACTTTTCATGGTTGTTGCCATTTCTTATGTTTTGTAAACTTAATGCCCATTGTTTTAACCACTTTCAAGCCTTACTAGGTCGGGAGAGCTAAAGGAGGTACAAGAAGCCCTTATTTGCAAGATAATAATAAATAACGTTGCATATGCAACAACACACTTATAATGTCAACCAGTCAGGCTACTGTACCACATATATAGGAAATGCAGCAGGTGTTCTCCACCCGAGCAGCAATTAGTGTCTGATCATCCTGGCAGCTTGGTATCTCCTCCATTGGTTCACATTTTTCTGGATCACATTCTGAAAAAAGTACAACAAATGTATTTCTTTATATGAAGCTCAGAATTCCTCCTTTGTTATGCTATATTCCTAAGAAAGGCAGTGCAGAGCAGAGAGATACAAGCTGCTTTAGAAAAAACTTCTACCTTGTAACACAAGAGAGCAATCTTGCCTTATCAGTAAACACAAGACTACATCATATCTGCTCAAACTGAGGCACAGACCAACCCCAAGCTTTTAGACTAAAGCAAATTTTGTAAATGGTCATACTAGCAATGGTATTTACACTAACTACCTTTGTGCATCCAAGTTGATCTATTTAGTTTACTGAATGTCTTTTACAGGGTGAACTTTTTTACCTTTTGAAAAGAAACTTACCACAAACGTAGCTGGGACAACAGGATTCTTCACTGTAGTAAGTGACTAACTTTTCCAAGGCATTACACTCAGGGATTAGGTGTTCACAGAGACTCTGATTACAAACTGTTACATACAGGAAAGAAAAAAAATAATTACCTTCTAAACTATGCATTTTTAAGTCAAGTAGATCAGTGACAAGCAGTATTTGCAGTTAGATACCCTAAATCTCCAAATAACAATATGCATATGAAACCACAATGAACTAGCAAAAAATCCCAAGGCAATATTAAGAAGTGTCCATCATTTGCAGCACTCTCCATGGAGGCAACACTAAACTAGAGTTTAGTAAGAACTGAAAAAATAAAATTCTGCGGAAAACTCACTGCATCATATCAGGTGATCAAAACATGGGAACTGAAATTTCTTTTTGAAGATGGGCTTTCTAAACTGAGTAAGGATTAAAAAAAAAAACCAAACACTTTTCTATCATTTTTTACTGCTCACTTCGTAAATTTGATAAACAATCACCAGAACACTTTTTCTCAGAATTACTTATATCTTTTGCTTGTATTCAGATGTTAAAAATAAAACAGTAACCTTTACGGCTGAGAGAAACACAATTCATATCCAAATAAACATAGTGCTCTTTTAGTCCTCTTAACCCTCATCTGTACCTCTACCTCTACCCCAAAACCTACTGGATATTGAGGCAAACAGTAAAAAGTTTCTACAATTTTCTATGTAATCTGTTAATTCAAACCAAAGTCATTTCCATTTGCTTCAAAAGTAAGATATGTAATGGGAAAAAAAACCAACAGAGTAAAGATATCTGCATATTTCAGTGGCAGTATTCATAATCATTAAGGAATACTTACTACAGATCTTCTGAGGACAACATGTCTGATCACCAGGAACATGCAAGGTCACTTCTGCAAATCGCTGACAGTCTAAATCGTGGGTATCTGAACAGTTGTACTCCACTGGAATAATAGTCTCACTGTCAACACATTTTTGCATACAGCATCCGCTCAAAGAAGTGTTCCAGATCTCACCCACTGCGTGAGGTGTTCCTGAGCTGTCTGTACAAGCTAGATCAGGACAACAGAAAACAGAAGTAATCCTTTTTTACTTCAAATTTTGACCACCATTTTCTATGAAGTCTAAAAATCCCAGAATTTTAAAGGCTTCACCCATTTCCATCACCCCACAAGAAAGTGAAAGAGCAGACAGTCTGAGACTGAGTTCCTGTGGGAAAGCAAGACACTCAGTATCCTCCAGAAGATCTGGGCCTCCACTTTGTTTTGTGTCTCCACACAAACTACTTTTGTATTTCACACATATCAAAACTATTACTAATTTACAGTGCTTTATGTTGTCTGATTTATCATAATAAATCTTAATAAATCTATATCTTTAAGGTTTGTATTGTTAGGCATTGGTTTGCTATTTGGTGTGCTGAGGCAGAATTATAATAAAATGAGCATGAATGCTGGCAGAAAGAATATAGGACATATACATGTATTATTCAAAATGTGTAATTAACTGTTGCTGCATAACTTTTGAATGCCATTTAGTATTGAAAGGCTGGACCCTTGGCAAAGGGCTTAGGTAAAAAGGAGGCCAAAACTAACACGCTTAGAATACTAGAGTGCATAAACAAAGACTTCTATTTTGAAGAGGCTTCTTCAGCTGAGAGTTAAGCAAAATTGTATATCACAAGGACATTCCCTGCTTGCTCACCTGCAGAGTTAATGTCTGCTGAATATCTAGAATCCTCAACTGAATGACATATGCAAAACCCACACAACACCAAACCAGAACTCAACTTATTAATAATGAAGTATCTGACCACCAACTTGCAGATAATAAAGAAGAAAATCACATCCAAATATACCACATTTTTCTTCAGGAATACAGACAGCAGTATGAATTCGGTGAAGGATGGTCCCTCCAGCACAGACACAGCCTTCTGTCAACACTGAGCAGGAGTCTGAATCCAGAGAAGCAACCTCATTATTCTGACAACTATCTGGAACCTCACAGGCAGCTATACAAGGCTGATAGGAGAAGTTTTCAGAGCAGGGGAAGGCTACAAAGGAAATAAACAAATCACACATTCTGAAGTTGCAATCACATGAGGCAATACCTAAGAGAAGAAATTATTGTCTTGTCAACTTCCTGTGCTTGCCAATTCAGTCGGATCTACCAACCTGACACACACCGATACAAACCAGTTACCTTCTACATGACAAATTCAATCAAAAGGTATTTTCAAGCACTTTTACTCCTCTTCTTGTAGTAACATTTTCATCAGGCCTCGGTTTGCTTTTTGGTAGTAGAGATATCAAACCACGTCAACAGTGTTGACACAAAATAATTCGAACTTCAAAAACCTCTGCAAATACTACACAGATCAGTAATACTGTTCAGAACTTTTTTTTTGTGGCTTCCTTCTTTCCGCAACCAATTGTGTTGTGTTTTGTTTTTATCACTGGGAAGTGGTTGAGAAACAAACACTACATTGCAAGAGAGAAGGTTTAACTTCTGCATAAATGTACATAGTAAACCAGAGGCAGAATTGTGAGCAAAGCTCTTCCGTTTACCTTTACCATCTTTGAAATGGCTATAATGGTCCTGATTACTTTTGAACACTGCTTGGAGTGTATAGTAGAAAATGCTAAATTTATTATCTCAATAATAATTCCAAAGTACATGAAGACTCAATTGGCATTTTCAACTTACAGTAACTCTTGTACTAGGCAAGTTTTGTCTCTGTGAGCACTAGAGGTGCACATATATGCAGAATACTTACGGCAGTAATCAGAGCTCCTCCATTCTATACAAATATTAAATTTGTTGCACATTGCCACATAGGCAGCTAGGGAAATGCATGGATTTCGAATGTACTCAGTGTCCTGAACCCATATATCACAGAACAGCTCAGGTGGAACCTAACAAAGAAAAAACAAAGATATGGCGCCTTCATAGAGACTATGCTAGGTGGGAAAAAGACCGACCTTTTAAAGTGTCAGCTACAAACAATGAAGCCAAAAGTTCTTGGTTTACAGTAAGCCTTCATTCGTGTACAGAGGCAATCTACTAGTATTTAAGAGTAAGACTTTCTGAATGTTGCCATACTTATATTCCTCAGTTTCATCTCTTATAAGTGACAACATAAGAGGTAATAGTGTTTTTCCAACAGAAGGCATAATTACTTGTTCTTTGTTCTTCCTTACCTCTATATTTTTACCTGGTTTTGGCTTCCTCTTCCTCAAACTCAACAATATACAAAAGGTCAAATGGCAATGCACTCATATGATCACAAATAATTTATTTGCACACTGTGAGTTTGTTATTTGCTTCAGGCTTGCTTTACAGGACCTGTTCTACCCTTTCACATCTCTGAGCTGGAACTGTCTCTAGAGTCTTTGAGAATGCAGGTTCTCAGATTACCTACTGCAATTTGGGACTTGTTAAATTGCTGAAGGCTTAAGGATTAATTAGATCCTAAAACTATTTTCTTTTACTTTTCTCTACATCTTATTGATACAGTTGAATTAGCTGAGACTGGTTTATGAATTAGGTGTTATTTCAAAACTAACAGAGATGAAGTTCTGAAAGTGTTATTGCTAACTGCAACTCTCCTATCAAGCTGCCATACTCTTCAATTAGTTTTACCTTGCAACTGTAGATACAAGATAAAGTATACATCTCATTCAATAAATGTGTTTACATGCAGTCTCACAGTAATAAAATTATCAAGTATGCAAGATTATATCTGAACTGCAGCTCTCTCAAAATGTAAGCTTCAAAATAGTTAACATACATAAGGATGACAGCTGCTGAAGGTCTGGTTCAACACCATTCTTAAGCACTCTGAGCAGTCTGTGAGTGAGCAATTAGTTTCCTGATGCCTGTCTTCTCCAGCATACTTTAAGGTGTCTGGCACTTGCCAGCTGTCTATAAAAGTCGATGGTGAACTGCTTTTGCTTAAAACTGTCCTGTTGGGTAGCATCAAGTCATTTTCCAAGGTTCTGTCACAAAACCCTGTGAATCACCAGAAGGAAAAGAATGGTTAACACCATGTGGTTCATTCTGAAGAATGTTTGAAGTGGCACATTCAAACAAGTAAATAGCTTTATAAAATCTTATACAATATAACAGTATCACAACCTACAACAGATGTAGAAAGCATTTGGTAGGATCAAAGCATGCAAATTCCAGAAAAATTGAGAAAAGCGAAAGTAAAGATGCATCTATGAGTGGAAATCTATTGCATATCAAAGAGCTGTTCAGAAATTCCAGCTATGGCACAAAACTTCATCCCTCGGTTGCACAGGCACTAAAGAAAAATCTATTTTAAAAAAGGTTACAAAGCACCTCTGTGTATAGCAACAAATTAAAATTGTAAATGTTGTAAGAAAAGGGAACTCCCATAAAATGCAAAGATGCTTATCTGATACTGTATTTCACACTGTATCATACAGTATTTCATACTGTATCATTCTACTTATGGTTCTGAGCAATCTTAAGCATCTGTTGGCTGAAGAGTTACCTTAGAAGTGTAGCTTTTGGCACCTCCAGGTATATCTATATTACCACTCAGCAGGAGAAAAAAAACCCCAACTTTTCTATATTTGCTTCCCAGAAGGCAGCATCACCTTTCCCCCCCACCCCCGTTTTAGCTAAGATAGTTGGCAATTTTGAAACACTTTGGAGCAAAAGAAGCAATGTAACATGGAAGGTGAGTTTGGTCAACACAGAACATCCAAATATTACAGTAGCCTCCTCAGAAGGTCCTTTAAAAGATAGCAGGTAGAAAAATAGCAGAATGATGGATGAGTCCCCAGTTCTTTCTTCCTAATCAGTTTCTGAGACTTTTGTATCAGACTTCTAGAATGTTTTTTTTCTGAAGTCTCCACAAACACAATTCTAAATCTTTATCTGTTCAAAAACTATTTGTGGATTTCACCCTTTTCTAAAGAACTAGTCTGTTTTACCACTTTTCACAATCCCTTATGACAAGAGCAAGTCATTGACAATACAGCAACAGGCATTCAAAGAGTAAAACAGCTTTTCAAACCGTAACCTTTATTTGATAAAAAATGTTTCTGGTTGAACTTTTGGAGGTTGTGAGTATATGCAACACAGATAGGAAGTACTTGATGGTTCTGAAAGACTTCAAAGGACCGCTGTCATGTCAGGGATATCTTTTTTCACTTCTCTTACACATTGACAAGGAGATTTAGCATAGCAAAACTAAGGTTTCACATTTGTCTTGGCGGGATCTGGTTACAGTTAAAACTGACATTCTTGTACTCTCTTTCACCAGTTTTGCTGTAGAGATGTCAATGTTCCCTTCCCAAACCCCTCCTCTCCCCCACCAGCTCTTCACCAGCTGCCACATATGGCCAATCCTTCTACTGTAAAACACACTTGTCTCTGACACGAATCCTTCCAAGGGAAGATTGTACCACAAAACTGCAATGGTGTCTTGAGTTTTAGCACTTCCATGAAGCTGAGAAATCAGGATCTACCAATACTGCAGTTTAGCTGAAAGACATCTGAGAAAGGTCAAATACATGTAGCAGAATTACACAGAAAGCACAGGAGATCAGGGTAGACTAATTTAGGCTGAGAAGATGCACCACAAGGAGCTCACTTAAAGCAGGCTCTGTAAGTTGCACCAGACAGCACAGTGCAGGCAGACCCATGCAGAGAACCCCAGTCAGGGAGGAATACCAGAAATACACAGCACATTCTCTGAAGAAGTTGTACTTGCAACATCATCCACAGAAATGTGTTGTCATCTAGTCAAAATGCCTTGTAAACCAGGAATATAATGTTCTCAGTGCTCCCTATCACAGTAATCAAACCCATAAAGGCAAAAGAGACTTTTTGGATAACTTGAATCAGGCTTACTAAAAAACCACAGTCTTTACTTTCTTGTTTCTGTTTGATCTAATCACAGTAACAACTAGACAAAGAGAGCAAGAACGGTTCTGAAAACAAAAGTTAGGGCAAATTACAGATAATAATCCAATTTCAAAATGGCACGAATTCAAACTTTGTGAGAAGCACATTACTGTCTTCACGACTTGAAGCTGGACTGAGCTATCACTGGTATTTGATACTGAGCTCCAGGCATTTGCCCTTTCTGAAACTGGAAAGATATCCACTGCAATTATATGATCTCTTTAATCCCATTTTCCAGCTCCAATTTACAGCAGATAAATTTACAGATTCAGCTAACACAGTAGGGATTTACATCAACAAATACATGCTTGCAAAGGTTATAACACCCACAGCTTAGTCAAGCCTATGGTTTTTAGAAAGAAAGAAAGCAGGCAAAACTATTGAACTGACCTAACAGAGGGCAACATGATGTTTATTTAACCTGTTACTATTAAGAAATTCCCTCTGAACTATTTCCTCCAACAGATAAACAAAGATTAGTTCTCTCAAGTTAACATTTCCTGACCTTTAGAAACTGAAAATAGTACACATCGCTTCCTATCAGATGGATATTAAACACTGTATCTGTAAAGGACCTATTTGACATTATGGACTTATACCTGTCTTATTTATTTGGGTTTAGTTACAGCAATCATGCCTGTGACTCAAACAGGTTACAGACAGGAGCAACACTATGGGTAAAAAGTGATTACAGGGATAGATGTCAGACATCATTTCAACAACTAAAAAAATTAATAATAGACTAATTTTAATACTATCTTAAACTTTGCAATGATCTGCAATAACTCTTTTGGGACAGATCCTGCAATAAATAGTTTATATAATTAGGAAAATGTGTCTCCCTACCAAAGCATCTGAATGCCTTTATTGCTTAAACTCGTCTATACTTACCACACAGTCCCAAAGTGCTTGGTTCTCTGCTACTATTAAACTCAATAATCATCACACCTGTGTTGTGAAACCACTGAATTCTGATTTTTGATGGGGTCTCAACCGCATACTTGAAGCCTGAATCTTCAACTTTGTATCCATATTTTCTAACAGTAGGCCAAGCAGATCTTGAATTTACTGTTACCTAAAAGACAGGCAGAAGAGAGGTCAATTGTCAGGTAGAAGAACTAAGGCCAGATTCTCAGCAGCTTAGAAATCTAAATCATAACCAATTTCAAAAGAAGTCAGGCTCTCCTCGACAAAGATAACATAGGTACCAAAGGGACTAAGAGTTTATGTGACTTACTCTGTGACTTACCTCACAGAGTAACTGTCCTTGTATGACAGTTTGGCTCTTTGAATTTAGCAGGAGTTTACTAAATTACAAAATCAACAAGTTTTATGACCTTTTTTGTTCTACATTAATCCTCAGTATCCATGTGAGAAGGCAGTTGATTACAGAAGATGCTATCTAAAAGGAAAAGAAAAAGCTTCATTATACTTACTTTTCTACTTAAACGATTGATAATAATTTGGTTTGATACATAGGTTAGATTCAACGTTGCCAGGCACAAAGAAGTTGAATTTGAATTACTCTGTGGAGAAAGCAAAAACACATTAACCACAGTCATGATGTGCAAAATCTTTCTACGTTAGCTGCTTATTCTTTTTAGGCACTGGGAAATTAAGGATTTTTGGGGGATATATTATTAAGAAAGGAAATCCATTGCTGATTACAGTTTCAAGTCAGGACTACAAAGTTTATCTGGATAGCATTCTTGTAAAATAAACAAGGAAAATACTGTGAAACCCTTGTTTACGGCAACTGTGCTGTATCATACAATCTTTTGATTGTATGATACAATCAATTTATACAATTGATACAATTACAACAGAAATACAGGTTTTCAGGGGAAAGAAAACCAGTGGACTAGCTGTTTGGACACCAGAAAATATGAACTACCGGCCTGAAGGTGAGCAAGAATGAGACTGGGAATGATGTATCTCTATGATATATGTACAGTACAGAAGTAATGGATCAGAAATACACGCATAATTCCTGAGCTAAAAGGCACTGAACAAAACAGAAAGTACTGAATGCAACAGGAAAGCAAATCTGAAAGTCATAAACACATCTTTTTCAAATCAATCACACTGAACTCCTGAAATTAACTTGCATAAGGTACAACTTGGGACCAAACTTTGTAATGGACATTTATATGGATAACAAAATTACCTAGCTTTCATGGAAGAGACTGGAATTTAAAGAGTTTTGTAAAGGTTCATAAGAAATTAACTTTTCATGACAAAAGCCAATCCACACTACCCATTAGACAGGATGCCCACTAGGATTTCTCTCTTCCTCCCAACGTCAGAAACTCAGAATGCACAGGGTGATCCAATTCAGTCTGGCATTCCTACAATCTTTTATGGCTCTGAAGATTGGTGTTTTCAGTGTGAATTTCTCCACACGAACATAGGTAAAAATCATGCATTGAAATACACTGGTGGTATTTGTTAGGTGACAGCACTCACAGAACTGACTGGTGCTGCGTATCCACTTAATCTCTCACCACCTTGTCTATATTGCACATACAATAAAATAACATGGATCTACTTCTCATCTTCCAGCTGTCTCAGAAGGAACTATGCATATGCAGTCAGGTGATAAAGTGTTATACAAACTGAGTGTTGTAAAATGCAAGTACAATTCACAGATATTGCACAGGAGTGAATAATAACCACAACTCTGTAGTATTACTATGCTCTTGCTTTTAAGATACATCTTACTAGTAGTACCAAACACCTTCTGGTAGCTGATAAATGTTAGTTACCATTCTACAGTCAAGGACACGGATGGTTATAGTTTCATCTTGAGTTTGACTAACAATGTAGGATGCTTCTTTGAATAAAGCCAAATGATTTCCATCATAGGTTACAATGCTCAGATCAGAGAAAATGGTGCAACGACCTGAGGGAAAAAAAACAGTAAATTTTTTTCTAACTTATTTTAGAATTTCAGTAAGTATTACAAAATATGAAGATAAACAAATAAATTTTAGAAGATTAGCTTACTAGAGTTTCATATATGCAACATATATTTTCAGCTATATTTGATACTGTTTCATCTCTGTAAATGGACAGCAGAGTCAAATCCTGCATATTTCAGGTAACAACCTGCAGACCTCTGCAATTATCCTTACAGATCTTGCCAGCAAGGAATTGCAATTTTTACAAACGCTAAACTAGGAAAAATCATGAATGACAGTAGTTCCCATCAGATCCTTAGTTCCCTTCTAGTCTTGTTCCTAAGGTGGAAAGTTTCTATTTCCCAGTCTCATTGCTAAAGCTTTTGTGTTTCAAAGGGCTTGAAGTTCTACTCTGAGTTCATTCAAACTTTAGAGCACAACCAGAAATTCCCATTGCTTATCTCTGCATACTTTCCTTGCTGTTATGTACTAAATCAAACTGTCTTCGAGGTTTGGATTCCTTCTACCCAATTCCAGGTAACTGATGGGAGTGACTACTGTACAGAATCCCCAAACTGCAAACATAGATAGTTAACAGTCTGGGGAATCTTCTCATCCTCAAGTAGATATAAAATGAACCAAAGAATACACTGGTTACGTTGATTAAGTGTCCCCTGATTAGACCAATGACAAGATGGACCTAAGTCAGACTTGGACATATTTACTGCAGTTACCTAAAGCTGAGTAAGAGGAATATCCTAAATTAAAGGAGCATTTTGATTTAATTTCCCTGGATGTACAACTAGAATTATAACTTTCATTAGACAATGAGTAACCCCTACAGTGTGCATCTTCTATTTCTATGCTATGGTATAGAAGTGTCAGTTCTTAGCCTTCTTACACATGCATTAAATTGTTACCTAAATTCACTTCAAAGGTACATAATTAAAACTTACATGCACATTCCCACTTTGGGCAGCATTTGTCACCATTCATTTGAGTAGCAAATCCTAAAACTCCACAGCTGGGTTGAGTTGCATTGTATGGGCAGTTCTGGGACTTATTAATTTGGATCAGTTGTCCATCCAAGCAAATGTGTTTTATGCACTCGTTCTCTGTGATTGGCTAAGGCACATTTAATGAAAGACACAGGTTACCATTCTTATCAATGTAGTATCACAATATTGTAAAGTTTTTGTTTAAAAAAGGGGTTCACATTCTTCAGGTACAGAATACTTGTCGATCCCTATGACGCTCATAGAAGCTACAAGTGAAGAGCATGTTGAACACCTGACCTTTCTGAGGACACATTAACACTGCTGTCCTGTTGTAAAGGTGAGAACAGCACTACTGAATTTTTAACTTTACTTTGAAAAAAGTTGAGAAGGAAAAATACAGAAGGGCACAAGCAGGCATAATAACAGGGATCTCTGGAAACATATATTTTAAGGAGAGCGATATGACAAAAGCATATAAAAACACCATTTTTGCCAAAAAAGCCTTGTAACAGTCACACCTCAGAAAACCGAGGAATGAAACTGAGTACAGTATAGCATTTAGAAAAAAACCATTATACGCAACGAAATCATCCAAGGTTTCAGATACAATTGATAACATAATTGGGCTCCCTGTTTGATACAGATATTTTAAATTCTAAAGATCAAGGTATGGTTCACAATTTTTTTTAATCGGTGTGTGAAAGACATATTCCAAAACAGACAGATAAATATTTATAGCTACTCACTGTACAAGTTTGAAGAGTTGCTGTTTCTTGAGGCACCATAAAAGGTGATGCTGTGACTCCTGACACGGCTTCAGCTGTTGCCAGTCCATCAGAAAGTGTTGTAGTCAAGTCATGAAGTAGTTTGGTAGATAAATAGGCAAACGAGGAAACTGATGGAGCTGTTGTGTCATTTGGATGACCAGGTATCATTAGCAGTGAACTCACAGAAGGTGTTTGCATCTCAGATGATATTTCAGGTTTTGAACTTTGAGTAGTACTGACTGATGATGCAGCTGCAGAAGAAAATGGTTTTGATTCAGAAGATGAATGTATAGTGGAGAGAACTGAAGTTTTGTTCGTGAAATATGGAGAGTAAAATGTCTGAGGTGTTTCTGGGGTAACAGTAACACCCTGAGTAAGAACAGGTTGGACTTGTGTTGGTAGTTGTGGCTCTTCAGATTTTACTGTGTCAAGGGGCACAGTTCCTTTTGCTTCTGAAGTAAGAGAAGTGGGCTTCACAGCACTTGTGATGGGTTCTGTGACCGCTTCTGCTTTGCCTAAAGTTGCTGATGCAATACTAAGATTTTGCCCAGCACTGCTTATCATTGAAGAGGCTGAAGCTGCAGCTGTACTTGCTACAAACGTGGAACTGAAGGTGGTGGCTGAAGGCGTGACCTGCTTAGACAACACCGCAGTTTTCTCTGTATCGCTTTTGCTTGTTAATGTGGATGGCCCACCCCCCATCACAATGGGAATTTCTGTTCTTTTTGGTAACAAAACCACTGAAGAGGCTGACTTAGGACCTGGTGAAGATGAGGTTGTTTCAAGTGTTTGTCTTGAATCAAGTGATTCAGAAAACGAGGCCTGGTGTGTGAATTTTAGATCTGTAGCTGCCTTTTGTGTGGAAAATGAAGGAAATGGCTCCTTTTTAATTGTTGTTAAAGAGGAGGAAGCTGCAAGCACTTTTGGTGAGAAAGAGGGAATTTTGGTGCCAAAAATAAAGTCAGCTGTTGTTCTAGTTGGGACTGTAGACTGCAAAACAGAAGTTCTTAATACCTGCGGCTGCGTGACCGAATCAGTTAAACGCAAATATTTTTCAGTTGGTAAAATAACTTTTGTAGGACCTACTGAGGAAGGCAATATACTTGAATGAATGCCTTCTGGTAGCGAGGTCATCAAGGGGTATAAGGAAGGCAGTTTTGCTGTAGCTTCAGTTGTGCTAAAGACACGCTGTGGCTGACCGGTGGATTTTGTTAGTGTTTCTGCAGGATACTGGTAAGCTGGGGTAATGCTTTGGCTCATCAGGGAAGGTTCATAAGTCCGATGATCAGGTTCCATAATCTTCTGAGTAGAAAAATGTGGTATAACCATGGTCTTTGTGGTCTGTACTGAAAGTTGATGTCCTGAAGATGTCTGCCGAGAGAAGGGGCCTGCTGAAGATGGAGGCAGGGATGGCTGAGCTGTAGCTGCTGTAAGTTTCACTGTATCTGTTAGACTTTGGACTGTAGGTTTCAGTGCTGCAGAAACTGTTTTAGTTTCTATTGAATATTTTGGTGTGGTTGTTACTTCTGGTATCCGCTGTGTTAAAGAAGGTGAAGAAACTAATTTATCTCCCAGATACTGAGAGGCAGAGAAGGTGTAAGAAGATTTTGTTACTGGAAGTACAACAGAAGGGGACAGAGAGGGTTTTTCTTTGCTTGTCATTACTTTTGTGGTTCTTATGAGCTGGCTGCTAAATTCAGAGGATGGGGAGATTGTGCCATTAGTGATATTCAAAATGGCTTTGCCTGGTGATTTTTCATATGATTCCGTTGTTACTAGACTTGATTGTTCTGTTATAGTGGATAAAATAGAGAAAGTCTGGACTGGAGAGGTCTTTTCTGTCGTTAACATAGATTTTTCTATAGTTGTTCTTGGGTATAAAGAGACTGTTTCATGGGATGTATGCATGGAACTGAGAGTTGTCAGTGATACTTCTTTTCCATCTGAGGATAGTGAAGGAAGAGAAATGTTTAAAGGGATTAGAGAACTTGATGGTGAAAAAGTCAAGGCAGATGGCTTTCTAGTAGAGATGGTAGTAATACTTTCCACTTGCTGTGTCGTCAACAATGTGGTTTTAGTCTCACTAAGGAGAGTAAGTGGAGATCCAGTGATGGATGTTCTTTGAGATGATTCTCTTTCTGTAGCTACAAAAGGAACTGTGGTGGTTTCTTTGGTTTTCATTTCTGATGTGGTAACACCACCTGAATATGCTGAAGTGCTTGTCTTCGTTGTACTTGAAACCAGAGTTGACTTGTATTCAGTAGATGCTTTTCCAGAAAACAAAGCTGTCTTTGCTGCTAATTCAGGAGGGGATGTTATTCTGGATGTCTCCTTAACAGACAAAGGTGTCACTCTGATAGTCTCAGCCACAACAGGATACTTCGTGTATAAGGTAGTCAGGAATTGTGTTGTATTTAGAACTGTGTATGAGGGGTAACCTGTAGTCGAAACGGTTTTAAATGTTTTTTTAAATTCACCTGAAGCTGGAGAAGCAGGAGTAGGAACAGACACTGAAGGCCTTTTTGTAGAAAGAGTGAAAGATTTTTCAGTTGTAGAACTAGGCTGTAGCGAATATGGAGGGAAATAGGAACTTGATGTATGCTCCACATGAGATGTTGTTTTGGGAATTTCCTTTATATGAGTTGCAAATGATAAAGTTGTTTCTGATGATCTCTCTTGAGTTTGTAGAGTTGTCTTCTTCGGACCTAGAGTTGTAGTGAAAGGTACATCTGGAGTACCAGTCAGGTGTTGAACCATTACAAAAGGAGGTTCCATAGTTGTCTTTCCTAATGAAATAGATGGCATGGATGTTGGTGAAAATGTTGTCTTCACAGTTTGCTTGGTCAAAACAGCTGTTGCTGAAGACACCGGTTTTAATAAAGATGAAGTAGTGAGCATAGGAGAAACTGATGTTACTGTAACATTAGTTACTGTGATAAAAGACTGTTCTACACTGATTTTTGTCCCTTCCAAAGTTCCTGTTAAGTTTACTGGTGTTGTATATGAAGGCACATCCAGAGGTGGTGATCTGGAAAACTGTGGCACATATGCAGTAGTTTTATCTGTTATTGATTCAAATGAACTGGGTGTAAACCTTATAACTCCTTCTGGCTTTACTTGTGCTTCTTTTGTGGGACGTGTTTTTATGGCTATTTCTGATATTTCCATTGTTTTAGTTTTGACTGGCATTTCTGTTGTTCTAAGTATGAGTGGTGTCCCAGTAAAAACAGAAGTAGCAATTGGTTTGCTTTCTGATTCTGTGCTTGTAGTCACTGCATGTGTAGCAGTTAGTGTCTGAGGTTCTGTGGCCCTCAATAGTTTAGTGGAACCACTACTGATCACTTGTATCTTTGTGGAAGTTTCTGAACTGACAGCTGATGGAAACACAGGAGAAGTGTCAACAGAAGCAAACAAGCTTACACTAGATTTTGTTGTCCCAGATATTGCTGCAGTGCTTCCCCCAGATGTCATTTCTGTTGACTGTGATGAAATGTTTGATGACAAAGTTACTGTTGGAAGTGTTGTACTAGATGTAACAGCTGAAAATTCAGTTTTCCCTGTAGTTGCAGTGAGCTGCAATTTTGTAGTAAGTGTTGTTTCCACGTCCTTTGCTCCAGGTACAGGAAACGAAGTTAACGCTTCACCGATCGCTGCCAAACTTGCACTTGATGTTATGTGTGGAACTGCTGGTGTTTGAATGCTGGGAGGCAAAGGTGGAATATCATCTGCAGGTTCAATGCCTGAAATCAGACACAGGAAAACAGGCTGAAATTTATGAATAATTATAGTGATGAAGCTAGCTTAGTTACAGGTTAACTCATATAACCGATCTCTTCAATTGCCTTTAAACTTCTAAAGCTTGTAGAAAAATTAAAAAATAAAATCATTAAATCATTTGCTTGAAATATAATGTTACTGAAATGTTTTGAAGCAAGAACATCTTTCTTAGTTTAAAATTTGTCTCATATTTTTGATGAATGAAATTATTTTAACAAAAGTGTATGTTTAGTGAGCTCAAGATTCATATAACTAAGATCGCAGTTACACAAATTTAGGCACTGATATTTGAAATTATGAGTAAAGAACTAAGAAATTAATAAGCTAAGTATAATACATAAATATATCATTTTTTCAGACATACAATCTTCAAAATACACGCATCTTTGAGTGATTTCATCCAGCAACATATTGAGAGGGCAGGCAGGGATACATCCTTCCACTCTAAAAGAAAAACAGTTATTATTAACTAGATGAACAGTATCTTCCGGATTGAGAATTTAATTTTAGAAAAATGGAATTTATACATAAAGTACGTCTGGTTCACCTCAGTGTACTCCTTCAAAATGTCATTGCCATGACTTCCATCCTCACTCCTAACCTAAGCTAAAGCATAAGCTCTGTGATACTCAGCCTTTGAAATTAACAGTCACAGGTTCAGTTCAGTAGTGAATACTATTGCTTAAGAGACACTAAACATTTTTACACACAAAAATCCAAATGCCAGTTTTATCAGGCTCAGCAAAAATTCCAACTGGGAAGAAAAAGCAAGTACAGATATGGCTGTTGCTATGAGATAATGGAAACAAAGGGGCACAACTATTTGAAACAAACTTGTAATAACCTTTCTTTATTAATACCACCCCCAGGCTGTACACATACAAATATACTAGTCATTCCAGAATCTGACGGTACACTAATGACAGAAATGTCACTTTTATGTAGCTGCAGCAGCAGGTTTTATTCCATTCCTTTTCTCTTTGCCTTACCTCCTTATACAAGAACACAGTCCTGATATACTAAGCCTGTATCTGGTCACTTATATTCCTACTATCCTGCTTAAGTATATTGCCCAAATTACACACTCTTCCATAAAAATACAGATACTTACTTCGGTACTGTCTGACAGTTTTTTCCAAAAGGGTCTCTACATGTCTTGAAACAAGGGCTTGTACAGGCATCATAATGCCATTCACATGTAGAACGGGACAGAAATTTAAATTTGACATCTGAAAACCAACAAAGATCTGTTATTCTCATATATTTCTAGAAACATATAGAGATACATATCCCTAAGAGGCATGCTTTGCATTCACTGCAGCTCTGCTACTATTTCTACCTGTTTCCTCCACAAATAAAATTGGTAATATTTTTAACTACTAAGGTTTTTAAAATAGAAAATCAGTTTACATTTACGCAGCATATATTGGCATATGCTTGCTCTACAGTGTGTTTTACTCTTTACAGTATAAAAAAAATCATTGAATTAGCCACATTTACTGCATATTACAATCATAGGAAAATTAAAACCAGACAAGTTAGAGCTGTCGCTTTTAAGTTTTAAAACTATATCAACAACAAAACTGTATGTTTGCTTATTCAAACAAAGTGTAAAATTAAGATTATGATGTTTCTGTACAATTATTGCTATTAGCATAAAAATTAAAAGCACTGTTTGGATGCACTGATACACTTTATAGCATAGGCTATCATAACAATTGCTTACTTCATGTGTAAAATTTGCTGATATAACACAAAGGTGTACATAACTTGTACAATTGTATTTTAAAAGCCAAAACAAAACACCATTTCAAAGTAATCAGAAATTATGCCAACTAAGGCTCTTTAAAGCACTATATCTTAACATTTGATCTTCTCAAAAGCCATACAAGATAGCCACTTCAAAAGAAACTCATTCAAAACCTCAAAATATTTTGAATCTGAAATTCTAACTGCTTCCATAATGAACAAAGCAACTCACTTAAGACGAAACACATAGTCTTGCAAAGCCTAAAACATATACTGCACCACACAAAATACCAGTACCAGTAAATGAAACTGGTACCAGTAATTAAACTCTACGGTAAATTTAAAAAAATATCCCAAACCTAACTCAACCAAAATACAACAAAAAACCACCCCAACCTGACTTCAGAGCATCTGTGCAGATAGTGCTTATTGAAAGATTTCCAAGTCACATAATGGGAACCCAAAGTACAAGTTCAGATAGAGGAAGAGTTAAACTTCAAAGTGAGAACAAACAGAAATAAGGATCAGCTATACTTCCAGTACTTACTAAATTACACAGAAACTTTACAAAATTAATGTAAAGAAGAAACAGAGTGTAAAATCTGAGAGGAACAAATTTATGGCAATCATCATGTGTGTGACACATGTTCAAATGCACTATCACACTTTCACTCCAGCCCTCCCCTTCTGCCTGCAGAACAGTTTCCCACACAATACTACATTAGTTAGTCCAGTGCTCTTCCAGCACCTGCAGGATTTACACAATGTATCTGGACTTCAGTACCTGAACTGTGACAGCCCACCCCAGCTCCTTCTAGTAGCAGTAGGGCAGGGCAGTGACCCTTCCCTACATTTATGCCTCCAGGAGACACCATCATGATATATGGATCCCCTCTGAACTGGTAAACCTGAGCTTAGAGAAATGTTGTTCAGACCCTACAAAGAGTAACTGCTCTTAGTGCTTACATTAATCACCAGAAAGAAAATGCTAACTGCTTAGAGTTTCCATTTTTGATCTTTTGAAGTATTTTTCTTTTAAGTTTTGCTGATCTTTGCTTGACTGAGATACAAAGAAAGTAGTTCTTTTATATCTTCTTGAAGACAGTCCATTTTTCTGTGAAGATCTTAAGAAATTGTTCTTCCTGAAATTTAGGGACATCTGTACTCACAATTATCTCTCTGTCATTATTAACCATTAACGTCTTCTTCTAAAATACAAATAATTATCTTAAAAATATAAGTCAAACTCAGACAAAAGGATGTGTATGTTGCCATCTAGTGTTACCCCTTTTACATCTCACTTTATCCACAGACGTAACTTGTCACTGTTTTTAAAAACATTATTCTTACGACAGTAACAAATGCTTTTATGAAGTTATGTTCCCATAAGAAATTAAGTACATGTCATTGAATTCTTCTGTGACCCCTTCTTCTGAAATCAGTTTTAGTTACTTAAATCTACTGGAGGAATTAAGGAATTATTTCCATACATTTTTCTGACTGATGTATAGGGTTCTGTAATGCACTGACTGGTCAGAGTGATAAGGTTTAAGAACAAAAGAAGATACATGACAGAAAGAATACATTAGAGACCTTTTGGCAGAGGCAATCACCAACAATAGTAACAACAAGCAATAACAGTAAAGCCTAGCGGAATCCAGGAAATCTCATTCATCAGTCTAGCCTAGATTAAGTGCAGAGACCAATCCACAGGTTTTAACTTTTGCCACAAAACTCACCATTAACCACCGAGTAAGTCTGAAACACAATAAAGGTACAAGCTTTGCAGAGGACATACTGTAACCCAAGGAAGAATGATAGTTTCTCAATTTAGCAGAACAGTGATCATGAATTAACACTTCCAAGTGCTGGGATTAACATACCATCTCCCATTCTCCAAATAAACTTTATGAAATGATAGCCATGCTTTCCTCAAGCTTTTTTACAGATTAAGTTCACAGAGTTTGGTGGTGTTGCACGCCTTGGTAGGAATTAGGGCGAATTTCTACGTAAAGGTATAGCATTTGTTGAGTAGTTCATAAACACTGCTTTGAGTCAAGAATGAAGTCATGCTTGTCTGCAAATTTTGCCCCTACTTCTCCAGAAAGAACTATGGACAACAGATGAATTCATGAACCTGATCACAAAAATTGCTTTCAAAGAGCTGTAGAACCAGTTGACATTTTGTTTTCCAGTCAAGGGATTTTAGAGAATTGAGTATGCCAGTCCAAGCTGCATTAGCATGTATTAGTGTGTAAATTACATTACAGAGCACACCAAATCCCCAGAGCAAGAGTTGAAGATATTGCATTGTTTTCCATTATCTCTGAAAGTTTTCAGTATGTCTCAGCAAACCCATGAGGTACACTGAAATCTGTGCTTTGTTAGGAATTATCAGAAAATGCCTTTCAAGCATTAGGAGAACTTCAGTCATTTATCATATTTAAAGTTTTTACTACTGTAAACATCACTTCTGAAATGCCTAAGCATCCCAAGGACCTAACACTGACTGCACAAGCCACGGTAAAACAAAACAAAACAAAAAACACAGCACGAAAACAACCTCTACTCTGCACTGGTACGGCCTCACCTTAAGACCACAATATATGATTAGAAAGTGTCCAAAGGAGGGCAATGAAGATGGTGAAGGGCCTTGAGGGGAAGCTGTATGAGGAGTGGCTGAGGGCACTTGGTCTGTTCAGCCTGGCGAAGAGGAGACTGAGCGGAGACCTCATTGTGAGGGGAAGAGGAGGGGCAGGCACTGACCTCTTCTTTGCAGTGACCAGTGACAGGATCCAAGGGAACGGTCTGAAGCTGTGTCAGAGGACATTTATGTTAAACATAGGGAAAAGGTTCTTCCCCCAGAGGGTGGCTGGGCACTGGAACAGGCTCCCCAGGGAAGTGGTCACAGCACCAAGCCTGCCAGAGTTCAAGTGTTTGGACAACACTTTCAGGCACATGGTGTGACTGTTGGGGTTGTCCTGTGAAGGACCAGGAGTTGGACTTGGATGACCCTTGTGTGTCCGCGTCCCTTCCAACTCAGGATATTCTATGATCCTATGAGGATGCAGTTCCTGCTTAAAAAGTTAAGATGAAGTAGAGATTAGACAGAAATTGCAAGGGAGGAGAAACAGAGGCACAGAGCCATGGTCTGAACTAACATGAAGTCAAGAACAAGCCAAGAAAACAATAAAGTACCTAGCTAAAATATAGGTTATTTTGTTTTTCTCAGTAATCTATATATTAACTATGACTCCAATACCCACAATCATTTAATCTTTAACGTATAAGGAAAAGCAGTAACAATGTGCTTTAAAGCCATTCAAGTACCTGTCTCCCTAAACTGAGGGAAATATTCCTTTCTGCCTCTGTATTGATTTTAGACATTACCTTCCACATCAGACCAGCCTCAGCTTTGTTGTTACTACAATACTGCAATTCCCATGACTGAAACCACCACAGCACAGAAACTCTGGATTTTGCCAGTGTCATGGCATGAATTCTCTATGCTAGCCAGGATGCTAATCAGCCACCTCCACCACATGCTTCCCATTTTTTTAATACTTAAATTCCCCCTCCAGCAACCATTAATAAGAGATTACTGTACCCTATGTGACAGTAAAGTTCACTCACAACAAAAGAATGATACACAGTTTACAGACAATGAATCAAGCTTCTGGTATCAGGCATGTGTTCCTCAAAAGGATTTGTCATGGCATTTGAAAATATCCATGTGTCTCCTAGTGAAGTCTACCAGCATTTGTCTTCTGTTTGGTGACACAGCAAATCCTTTACAAAATAGTGAATTATGGCCTGGATGGCAGTTGCTGCAGTTGACACACCAACTGAGCCCACAGTTCTCCTACCTAACAGGAGCTGAGCATATCAACACACTACAGTACTGCACAAAGCTTTTGTATGAATGCAGGTATACACACTGCCAAAGACAATATATTAAAAGATATTCCCCAACTCCATTGTTTTCTCACTTTCTTGGACATAAAAGGAGCGTTTTCTTCCCTGTAACTAAGGATTTTTTTTCTCTGTGGCTTTCAAAAATGGTACTGCGATAACAAGAACAGTTGCTACCATTTAATGAAGAATTTTAATTTTTTTATCACTAACAGACTGTAGTATTCTGTTGAGTCACAACCACCTTTCTTAGTAGCCTGGTCACTTTTTTGGTGTTGACAATTCCTAAAGTTCACAAGTCCAGACTGCCTTGCTTTTCTATGCTTCTACCTCAGACAAAATTTGCCATTGTTAGAATCTGTATATTATGATTAATTGCATGTTATGCCCCCAAAAATGGCAATTTACTTAAGAGTAAACCCTAAAAATTGAAACATTCTAATGTTAATAAGAGGCTGTATTTAAAACCACAGTTTAAAAAATAATGAAAAAAAATTAAGTACTTGGATTTTCACTCTTACCTGATACTTTTTTCTGTTTTGCTACCTTTCCCCCAAATTCCAAAAAAATTTAATAGGTACAAAAATTGCTTTAGAATTAGTTCTATTTATAACGGTAGCAAAACTCTGCTTAGTAACTTAGATTGCCTATCTCCTCAGTTACAAGTTTAGAAACATGAAATCCTACCTACCCACTTAACGTACACAAACTACCAGCAAACTCTGCTCATGACTTCTAAGTTTCTTCAACAAGAAATGTAAGCAAACATCATTGGAAAAACTAAACTTCGTGCCCAGCCAAAACATCACTGAAAGAAAAGCGTAATTATCTACCTCTCAAATACTTACAGTTCAGTTTACCATCACAATGTTAACTGTTTAATCTCCCCCTATTCAGTTGAAAATGGGAGGTAAAACGTTATTCTACAGTAACCTCAGTCTGATTCTGTGAGCTACCAAGCAGATGTGCTCAGTGACATACCCTGGATTTGCAGCTTCAACAGCAGTTGCTCAGCATTATCCAGTCTCATGGCCCATGTCACGATCTTTTGGGCCAACAAAGCACATGAGCTCAAGTTAAACTCAACAGCAACTCGTTATGAGTAAAACAGGACATTCTAGAAAATTAATTCTATTCATGGAACAGGATAAGAGTAAGTTGAAGTTAAAACAGTCAATGTTATTATGTATAAATCTGCTTAAGGTGGAAGGATGGTTTTGCAAAAAAAAAAAACAAACGTTTTTCATTAAAATTTATTAAATTTTCAGTTTTGTACTGTGTTCCCAAATGTGATCCAGTTAATTAAGATACTAACATTAAAAGGAACCAAAAATGCTCTGTATTAAAGTTAAACATTGAAAAATACCTCTGTGCAGTGTGCCTGTATCTTGAACTTTTAATTTTAGCTGAAAACTCTCTAAAACAGGCCATATGTTTACAGCGAGTTAGCTATTAAAGCACATAACTAACATTAAGAACTTTGTTGCAAAATTTGTATAGGGCAAGTCGCATTTTTATAACATACATAAAAATAACCCATAGTGATCTTAAAGGGGTGATAATTATATGAAAGATAAAAGGTAACTAGCTTGAGCACATGATTTTAAAAAAAGGGAAGAAAACTGCAGCTATATCCATAAAAAGATCATCAATTCCCTACATACACTGATTCCCCAACAATTTCAAATGTGAATTGATCACTCTTAAATGACACCTCTGTGCTTGTCCATCTGGTAGGCCAAGTGCCTTCTTTCTTTTGACTGAATGCATACCAACCCATTTGCCAGTAAAAATTCCTGAACAGAATGCAAAAATGTATTTTCTTGTGAGTAAGTATATGCTAGATATTAAAATTCAGTTATCAACTCAATTTCCTCAAATGTTTGTGGGAACAGGACAGCAGACAAATCTAAGTATAATGAACATAACTCAATTTAAAAGCTGAAGTGACTTCTCATGGAAAACACTTCGCAGCCTTAGTCCATGTGCTGTTATATAGTGCAATTTATAGCCAAAGTATTCCAATGCGACAATATTTATCACGATGAAACTGGAAAAAGTGACTCGTCAGCTGACTTTAAACAGATATGTATCTATTGCTGTGGTGATCAGGTCATTTAAAATTCTTCCTTTTGAATGTGCGTCACGGCATGAAGAAGTCTCATGAGGAACTTTCTGGCCAAGGGGATTTACTGGGCCTATTATTCTGCTCCCGATATTTATCCTCTGATTCCGCAGGAATAGCTGTTCCAGAGTTTCTGATCTAATATGTAAAGCATTTACAATAGTCAGCAGGAAACTCAATATGCTTTTGCCTGCGCACTCTGGAGCTGGTGTAACTTTTCCATTAACTTAAACAAATGCTGCTGTATTTTTAGACCATGTAATTACCCTACATCAGCAGCCTGGCCCTTGTGAAAGTACACTGGAGAAAGATTCGAGCCCTGTGTTTCTCTGCTTATAAAACTCTGAAACCCAAGCCCTCGGATGTGGCGATTAATGAAATACCTCTTGATCATTTGATCTGATCCTACTTGCTGAGGTAAATTGTTTTAGTTTTCCATTGGCATAGATAGGATTTTTTGGTATAATGACTGGAGGGTAAAGACTTCACACTTGAAAAGACATGCCATTCTGTGTTAATGGACGACCACTGAGAATTGGAACATGTTTTAACCTTCTTCATTCCTTCTTCAAAGATAAAAGACCGAGGAGGTATTTTTGTTATGTCCAAAAAAAGTTCCTTGCTTGAAATGTTGTATGAACATCCTGGTAATAGCATTAGCTCTATAATTCTGCTGCCCAAAAACCTCAACAGCTCTGCGATTACAAGCATTTGTCAAGAGGCAACAGGCATTTGGCAATGACAAAATCTGTCATTTTTCTGAAGTTGGAGTGTGCCAGCCAACAGCTGCATTAGGCTGTCAGCATAATGTACTGCAAAACACCGGCAGATTCACAATGACACCATTAACACTTTAATTCAATGTTTTGATAACAAGAAGCTCCACGAGGCATACAGTTGGCCTCTTCTATCATAGAAGTCAGAGGCTGCTTCAGGTTTGTCTGTGCCAAGATTCAACATGGTCGCTGTAAAACACGGCCAGGCCGTGCTTCATTTGATACAATATTTCATTTTCTTCCTTTGTTCATAAAACAATTTCAGGTCAGAGAATGAAGAGATGATTTTTTAAAATGGTATTGCCAGGAATACTTACTAAAATACTCCTGTTACCCAAATAACCAAATTGCTAATCTATTTAAAACTACAGCACAATAAAAAGCTTTAGAACACAAACACTTGCACTGATCTTTGAAGTTTATACCACACAATAGCCAGTGGATTCAGCAAGTAGTGGTTGTCGCTGAATTTCATAAAGTGACATGAATACGTCTGTTGTATCTGATATGTCAAGGCAAGCAGAAGCTAAAGGAAACAGTGGTTTCTTGAATAATCTGCTTTGCTTTCTTTTATAGGTCAATATAACTTCTTGCATCTTTTTCTTGACCTGTAAGGCCATCTTCATGTCAGCACATGGTTCCCAAGTGTTTAGGAATATGTAAAGACAGGTATTCCAATTATTTCTTTTCCTTAATAATCTAAAAAAGAAAGATCTTGATTGATTAATGATTTTTTTAATGTGTTTTCTTTATCAGTTCATGTAGGAGCAACTTCTGCAGCCAGCTCCTATGAATGGTCCTAGGAGTGAGTATCTCCTTCATTTCTCATCCTAAAGTCTCAGTGGAATGGAACTATTATGGGAATGGGAATCCCTCAAATAGGTAGAAACTCTTTCACAGCAGTCTGAGGTTTGTATTCAAGAGCTGTAGCTGCACAAGAAACATCAGGGAACTGGATATCAAGATCCTCAAGAAAAGGTGAATACCTCCAACTAGATGATGACTCAAATACTAGGGGGTAACATCCCAAAAGGCAGAGCATCTCTGAGTGGGTAATGGATAAAAGTCAAGGTGTTTTTTACAGGAAACATGACTTCTGAGGAGGCCATAAAGCTTGGAATGAGAATGCACTGTACAGAAATATCTCTCTTGGCAGCAGGCAAAGGGAAAGGAGGAGAAAACATCATCGACAGACCTCAACTTTTAGAGATCCATTCCATTCTTTTCTCTTCCCTTCATTAATCCATTATTCATGAGCACAAATTTTCTACTCCTTAAGAATTTTGTTACCATCTACAAGGCCAGTATTGCCCACAAACTGTACACCAGGACATGTATTTCCAAAACCAGTTGGCAAACAAAAAAAAACCACTGTATGTCAAGCTATTTACTGGCTTTTCACAAGAAAACAGAATCTCATCTTCATTACAACGCTCAGGGATTTTAGAACTTTTTTAGATTTTGACCCTGCACATCATGGAGTACCCACAGGTCCCTGTGAGGTAGAGGAAAAGTAAGCAATCTCATAACCTCCAAAAATATCAACACCATTTAGGCTGGATTTTCACAAGGAGAAAACTGTTGCTCATAATATTAAATTTTAATCACCTACCTACAAGTTTAAAAAGGGTTGACAGTCTGAATTCCTCTGAATGATGGTACTTCAAAAGCTCAATTGAAGAGGCTGAAATGTGGATGAAATATCCTGGTTTTGCAAATGACTCAAAGGAACTGTATCCTGAAAGCCACGTATTCTTGTGAATGACAAATGTAGACCTGTTGTGAAACTCTTCAGTTTTTTTCCATTTGGAAAGAACAAGAGTATTATTGGAGACCAACTGAAGAAAATAGTTTGGTCTCTCAGCTGTTTCAAATGAAATCAAGTTGGAATCTGAAAAACAAAATGAAATACACAGAACTCATTTACTTGCTGATATGTGTATAATAAAGTAAGCTCATTCTGATGTACCACTACTGATATTAGTAGTGTGAGGAATGAAAACTGACATAGGCCTTTCCAGTGAAAATAGCCTGAATCTTGTAAGCAAATACACTACATATGGATGGATTTCAGAGTGCTAGATTGTGAAGGATATTTACTTTTCTAAATACTCTACAGATTTCAAGAGGAATACAAGGAGATTAAGACATTTGCTCACACCAGGATAAAGGAATATAGCCCTGCAGTCAAGCAGAACTTAATTTACAGTCTTTGCTAAACCATTTATTTAATAAAAATTTAAACTTCATTTGACTAGCTTTACAAGTAACATTTGCCATCAGGAATTTATAGCTTAAGAGCTCAGCATTTCATTAAAAACAAATTATGAAAACGTATTTTGCATTCATCTCCCTGCCCCTTCCTCTAAAAATGTTACAGCAAAGTCTGTTTTCTGGCAAATGTCCCCTCATGATACCTTACCCTGCAATCAGCACTGCTGATTTCAAGCAGCCTCTGTACAACCAATTGCAGAGCAGCAGACTTTGAGCCTGTTACAGGCATCTGTTGCTCACAGAATTACTTCATTCTATTTTGCTGTAAACTCTGCTATTCTCTTGAAAACAGTCATTAAACTACTGTAAAATCAATTAACACTCTAGGACTGGGCAGCATTACTCAAAAAAAAAAAAAAGAAAAAAAGAAAGCATAGAAAACAAATATTTCTATTAAAAGGATACATTATCACATTCTGGCATAACACTTCTGGAAGACCACCTTGTTTTCTGAGCATTTGAACTTCAATTAATCTGAAAATCCTAGCAGTACTAGTGAACGTCTTTTTATTATTTGCCTGTAGCAAGAAGCTATTAAATAAGTAACAATGGACAGTCAGCGTGATTTTTAACATCTGCTACGTAACCAGTCAGTGCATCAATGCCCAAAACTCTCCATTGTCCACAAATGGCCTGAAACTGATAAAAGACCTGCATTTTGCTGATATATGCATAATATTTACTTGAATTTTCTATGAATGATATATCATATTGATCATACAAACTCCTCCATGACCAAATGATGAAATTCCATTTGTTCAGATTGGACTATAAAGCACAAATTGTATTCGCCAGGTTAAATTTTGAGCAGATTTTTATATGGGAATAGAGCAGTAGGACTGACCTTCCCTTTCCAAACATAAATTGAATGCAATGTACAAGTGTCTCAAAACTATGACTAATAAAAGAAATCTGGCCCTAAATATTCTGTGTCAGTTCTACAGACAGCAGTATTAGTAATCAAATGCTTGTCATTTTTTCAACTGACCCATATCCCTCCTTTGCTTACACAAAGACAGCCACCTTCAGGCTGTCCAAAGAGCTGATCAGGGGACTCTGGGCAGTAAAACCCTACTGAAACTCAAGTGCTCTGTGGGCATTAAAGTTGTGTATGCAGACAACTCTAGCATTTAATTAATGTCACAAATGCTGAATATACTCTTCTAAGTTTTCTCCACCTGTCTGAAGGTGTGCAAGACACCTTTTGCCTGCTGAATAAGCACCATGCTCCCTTAGGGGAAACCTAAGTCAGGACCTGAAGGAGACAAATTTGTAGTACTCAGCCTTACAAATCACAGGTAAGTGCCAGTGGGCATCTCTGTACAAGTGGGCAGACAACGAGCAATGGTGGCAAAGCGAGTGAAGTAGGGAGTACTTTTCTTGCAACATTTCTCTCCCGTTCTTTCCCATGTCCCAGTTTTGGCAGAAGAAAGGTAAAGGGAGCACTTTACCAAGTGCTCCACATATCTGGAGCACTGGGCTACAATACCAGTTTGGAGCTTCTGAAGGCTGGGGAGGCTGTTGCTTTTCAACTAAAGGTATCTGTTTACAAAGCTGTGATCATCCAACTAAAACCAACCCAATGAAAATTTTGGCAGACATGGAGTGCACATTCAGCTGGCAGACAAAGAAAAGATTTTTTTGACCCAGGTCTACTCTTAAACATAAGTTCGTATTCAAGGGCAGAATTTGCTCTGTCTTATTAAGATGCTAGGTTACTGTGACTTTACCATGTGCTTTGGGTTTATAAAGTCCTGAAGTCATCATAAAGCTCACTGCATGTCCAGGAAGAGTATCTTCTTCTCTCACTGGGAAAACAACACCATCCATCGATTTCACTGCCATCAGAAATTTTCCATCCAAATAGCTGACCAGCTTGTATGGGCCCTTTCCCAGAGCTATTGAGAGAAAAATCACAATTATCTTTCATGTCAAGTGTCACAAATGCTTGAGCTCTAAACGTTAGGACAAAGCACATAATGAAAAGCACATCTCACCACTCTGAAAATAGCTCTAGGTGCCATGGACTAAACTATAATGACAATCAAAATAAAGTCAAACTCTCTTAGAAAATACCTGTTCTGAAAACTGTCAAGAATACCTACCTTCAATTTTCAAGACTCATGATTAGCTTTTCTTTTTTGTCCCTCTCATCTGCTTTGGTTTCATAGTTACTTTATTAACGTTAGCTGACCCCTCCATTATTTGACTTAGAAATAAGCAGTATGTCTATAGACCACCCTAGGATCTCTCTAAATTGTTTATTTGCATAGTCAAACTGATTATACACTTCTTACTATTCTTTAAAATCTATTTTATTAATGTCTAATGTGTGAGGCATTTTGCAGGGAATAAAAGTTTGTTGTTATCAAGTATCAAACAGTGGAGATATAAACATAACCACTGGGAAATAAGACAGGAAGAAATTGGCATCATAAGGAAAGGAACGGTCAAAAGCATGGAAAGTTATGATTTCACAAATCTTAAAATGTCACACCTTCTCACTTAGTTCCAATTTCACTGCAGAAAAAAAAAGTTTATTTTTAAATGTTTGAAACTGTTTTTGTAAAGTTCTCTGTTAAAATCAGGCATTTTAGACCACACTTTAGCAATTCACCTCATTACAATTTTACTCACAAGCCAGGTAAGCATACATCTGAGATAGAAGTGTCCCAGAACTTCTCAGCCGATAGTCACAGCTAATACCATTGACCTTTAAAATCTGTTCAAAGAGGTTACAAGCTTGGACTGCAATTTGCAGCCTGCCTTCATATTCTGGTTCTCACTAATCTTAAAATTCATTAAGAATTTTGAAATCCTAAGGAGGCTGCACTACAACCAGAGTTTTAGATTCTAAAGCTTTAAAAAAGTAAGCAGTTAGGACAGAAGTCCATGCTCACCTAAACATGTACAGTGATACCTCGTCACCTTCAGCACAGGGAGTTGAAAAACATTTTTAAAATTATTACTTAAAACATCCAGTGTTCTAGATATATTATTATATCTTTAATCTCATATCTCAGGTCCATCCAAAACCTGACAGACCACAGCCACCAGCTGAGAATTTTCCCTTTCCAAAGAATAGGTTCTGCTTCCTAGTAGGACTGGAACTATTTCACTCTGGATTCATGACAAAGTTACACAGAGAAAACATCTCTCTGGTCTAAGATGATGCCTTAACCTTCCTCTCTCCAAAACTAAGTAATTCTAGGTAATGCTATAAGTGAGGTAGATAAGTAAATCTTCAGCATGGAGATGATTTTCTTTCCCCGCTGGCAGCTCTGAAACATCGTATGTTGAATACTGACGAGTTGGATTAGCAAACAAGATACAAAGTAAGAAGTATATGATAAACATGCTTATTACAAGGTTGGTCACATGCACAAACTCTCCACTCATTCAACTAATTTCTATCAGTGAGAGTTCAGTAACAAATAAAACTAATTACACACCTTAAAAGTATGTGTTATCATCTAGCTTGACGATTACCACAGGTGTTAGAGGCACTGTACTTTCAATGTTAAAACTTGCACTAAGATCATCTAGTATCAGACTAGATGTATTTCATTTATAAAACAAAACAAAACAAAAAAACCCAAACCAAACAGGAAATGTAAAACTTCAATCACCTCTTATGTTCAACTCGCCTTTATTTAAATTAATTTAGAGGCTTAGATAGTGATCTAGATGAAATTCCCATGCATTAGCAATCTGACCCCACGCAAAATCTTTTCAGCAGTCAGTGTACAAGAAAATGCAGATTTCTTGGCCATATTGTTTGGGCCTGAAAAACTGCACAAGTCTCTTCTAATTTAAACTTGGTCCCTCTCTGAGATGTTTCTGGGGGTGAGCTCCTGCAATACTGAGTCTAAAAGAAGACCAAAATACCACAAACCATGTGGATAGATAGGCTTCCACATGAGCTTGATAAAAAGAGTTATAGAATAAATAGCAGAAGTCCTGACCATTCCTCACATCAGGCTGGCTTGCGTGCCACGTCTAACTATGCAGACACTGGCAATGTAACTTTAAAATAGTCTGAAGATGGATTCCAGTGCTAACAGGGCAGTACAGCAGCCAGTGCGGATTCAAGGTTTACTCCAGCACCTTGTACAAGTTTTGCACTCCTCACTGAGAGCCACTCTATGCAGCAGCAATGCTTGCTGCTTAGGAACTTAAGGCTAGGCCAGACATACCTAAATGGAGAGTTATTCCCCATTTGGAGACAAAAAGTTGTCATACCTTAACAGCTACCTCCCTCTGGAGGCTGCACAGGAGACCATCAGTCATTTAACAGATGCACTGGGGATTAGCTTTGAACTGCATTGTCTTAAGCAAGTAGTGCCCCTAGTACTATTTAGTTGAATAGTCTATTAATTACTTAATGATTTAGTTGTTTAATCACGGCCCATCACTGCAGAGAAAATTAGCTAAACATATGCTCTTGGGAAAGGTCCAAGAATAAAAAAAAATATTATGACATTAAAAGCCTTTGAAAGAGAAAAATAAACCAGTAAAACAGAATCTCGGCTATATAAAAAATAAAACATCCACAAGTTATTATTTCACAAAAATAATTTGCAATTATTTTTATACAAAGTTCTAAGATTAATATAAAGAAGTCAAAGATTCTAGTGACATTTTATCAACTCCTTTAGGACTTACCTTTGTTGAAATATTCACAATCATATGCTAAAAAAAAGAAAATAAATGCAGTTAACAGGCATTCCGCAGATAAACTGGTTTTCTATTGCCCTTTACAATTAAGATGTAAGCCAAAAGCTTGACCAAATTAGATCATTTATTAAAAAATTGTTACCAAATATTTACTTCATTGCTTTAAGTAAAATACTAATTTAAACTACACTGATTTAAAGAAAGCATTGCTTCCTAGCAGGAAATACTAAGCTCACATACATACAGTTATCTTTTTGTGACCTCTAGTGGCTAAGACTGAGCTGCGTTGTTTTTCCATGCTCTCACTGAAACACACAAACCTTTTCTATCAAAATTTAACAGTAATCCGTTCACTCTGTGGCCAATTTGCTGTGCGACTCTGAGCAAGCGGCATACTCTCTCTGTGCAACTGCAAAGTTAGAAAACTGCTTGTTTCCTCCCATTCTTTATATCCTGCCCTTTTTTATCACATCTTTGGAGAAATGACTGTCTCATATTAGGCATTTCCACTATATAGATAAAGGTCTTAGATTGTTTTACAACTTCTAAGAATTGTTGGATAAGGATACTAAGGTAATGCTTAAAACCTACTGTTTTTCTTCAGAAAACCTTTATATTTCACACTTGATCTGGGGGCTCTAGTAAGGCAGCTGTATTTCCTAGACCTTAATGAGAAGTAAAGTCCTCCTGAAAACAGAAATTGCTTGAGCTGTTAACTTTGTCCCTTTGGTTTGGGGGACGCATGCTGTACCCTAATATAGACTTTCCATTACTTTTCCTTTCACATCATAGGGCAAAGAATTAAAAATAGAAAAGTACTGCTCACAAATACAGTGAGAAGAACATAATCCACCAAAAGGAAATCAGAGTGAGAGGCACCAACTCATCTTCCTACCAGTGTGGCTTAGTCATTGAATTCATGGCCCAGGTACCCTGATGTGATTGATTTTTCAGGTCTGTCTCTCATGCATGCAGGCAGTAGCAGCCACGGGCAATGCTGGTTTAAGTAAACTTACGACACACTCTAGGGGACCTCCAGTCCACTGCAACTCCATGCTGGCAGCACTGATGGGCATATGCTGATACACTTGTACAGAAACACTCACAGTCACCTCCTTGGTTACAACCACAGGTATCTGTCAAGCAGTTGGAATAAAACCAGGTGACGTCAATCTGGAAACGAAAATATCACTTATCAAAAATACTCATACAGACACTGCCAACCAACACCTTGATACAAAGCTATGACTCTTTCAGAAGTTAATATATCAAACTTTGAAGCAATAAACATTTTACTTTAAGTGCTTCCTGAAAGACAAGAAAAAAGGTTTATTAGAACACATCATCCTGTCCAGCACTTAATAACAGAATTAAATCAATAACCCATTAAGAACAGGCATGCTAAGATGTTGATGTGAGTTTGTGTTTTGTATGGTTTTTAATATTTAAGCCCTAACAAACTACAGAGAAACGTACAAAATAACAGATTTTCTAAGCTGATCACAAATTAATAAACCTCAGAAGCATTGAGAAAGTTAGATACACATAAAATGTAAGAAATAATACAGTAGATGGACAACTCATGTGAGAGTGGTTCATTCTATTCATATTATCAGACAATTTCACAAGAGAATTTGTCATTTTGCCCTTACAGTATTTTCAAGCTTTTAAGCCATGCACACAGTCTCAACACCTGAACAGCTTGGGATGTGTAATTTTCCATGTAAGACCTACCACTGGAAAAGAGCTTCTCCTCCATGCTCCAACTGAACCTGAGATGACTGACCACCACAACATGTCGAGTGGTTCATTTACTGCCTTAGGTGGTTGCCTGAGTGAGAAGATATATGCCCTTTTTTTTTTCTAGGAGTGAGTTCTTCACATCTGATATTGCCTACCTAAATGTTAATTTATTTACATATGCATGAAAAATGTGTGTGCTATATAATACATCTGAGGAAAATAAGGAAAATAATGCTCGTAATAAAAAAAAACACCTCAAAATGGGTGTATTTTTGTCTGCATTAATTACAAAGGAGACTACTAGGACTACCCATATTGTAGAAGACGAAACTGGTGCCAAAGTCACTTCCTGCTTACATCAGCTAAGTGCAGACAGTCCAGTTTAACATTCACATTTTAGAATCAGTACAGGTATGGGTTAGACCTTCTTTGTGTTCTCTTCTGCTACTCAAAATTACTATGAAATGGGAGACAAGATGAAGATTTGAAGTGCTTCAAGTTTAAAAGTAACATTTTTCTCTATTGATATATTCACCTTCACTTGTTTCTATACATGACCACAACTCACCACTGGATGGCAAGCTTCAAATGCTTCACTTAATAATATTCCACATTCCTTCTTGGCAAATGGCTCTCTAAGGGGATTCAAACTGCATGGATTTCGAATGTCAGAGCTGTCAACACACTTAACCAGAAAGCGAAATTAAGGTGAGAAACATTTTTCATAACCACTTTGTGTTTGAACTTGCAAAGCATAGTTCTGCGGCTTTTTTTTTTTTAAGAGATGTAAACCATGAAACAAATGTATTGTTTATGAAACTAAAGCAGGACAAAGATAGAGAATTAAAAGGTGATGCTAATCTGAAGAAAAGGAAAATTACACAAGCTGAAAAAACATTTTATTTATCTGAAAGCAGCAGAAAAACACACATGTACATGTAGGTCTAAGCAGAGCTGCCAGGCAGTCCCAACCTGCAGTCCTTACACCTGAACAGTCTCACTTACATAAATAACAAGGGTCACTTGGACAATGCACATTAGAAGTGCCAGAAATTAGATATTTTTACTCTAACTACTAGGAAGGGACATTTCTGTGAACACCACTAGACACGTGACTAAAAAAAAAAAAGTTCCGTTTTTAACTTTACAGCGTAGGGAAAGAATTTGTTTCTTTCCATTGTTAGGTCTGCACAGTTAAATATTTCCCAGCTATGAAAGATCAGCTAAACTGCCAACACAGTCTAAAGTGAACCCACAACTCTTCTATTAAGCAAAAAAATTACCACTTTACTGTTCAAATGTATTCAAAAAATGTTCACAATATTGTACAGCTTCTTTCTCTACACTATTGCACTGTGAAGGCAAAAAAAGGTGATTATTTTCTTTTCCTTAACAGATTATGGCATCTGTAAGAACCCCTGATATTGTCATTTGCATTGTTACCTGACTGATACTTCCAGGAATGAAGTTCTGATTTCATTCTAGATAAATTATATGACATAACAGCAAAAAAATCTACAAGCAAACACATTCTATTTACTATGTACCTCTACAGCTGTCCAGCTGTTTCCAAACTCCTGAGAGTTTGTTAATTCAAAATTATCTGGAGTCCTCAATTCATTTACTGTCTTCAAATCAAAATTTCCACATAATCCAGTCAATTCACCCTGGGAAAAAAAAAAATACACACACACATATATACATATATAAAAACATTTTCACGTGACAAAATGCTACCACCCATAACAACTTTCAAAACTTTTGTTTTCAGTTACTTAATTATAAATTTGTCAGGTTTTGATCCTTCTTTAGTTAAATTTCACCCAAAACAATTCAGTTTTTCATGATAATAAAGCTATGGAGAACATTTTATTTTGACAATGCCAGTATTATTCCCTTTCAACTATGTATCCCCAAGCCTTTGAGAAAGGAGCTGATTTTTTGTTCAGAGAAGTGAGCTGTTAGCCAGTTACGTGCTTTTCTTTTGCTTCAGCAAAATAACACCTACTCCAGTCATGTAAGGAACGAGAACTGAAGGAGAATTTAACGAGTACTGAAGGAGAATTTTTCCCCAAAGGTATTTGTTTCTGTTGTTACAGCAGCTACACAGTAAAGAGTAACTAAAAAAAAAAAAAAAAAGATCAATGAGAATAAATATTGTAATTGACAAGGTAGTTTGAATGTTTCTCTCCTTGATTTCTGACACATTGTCTATTCTCTGCATAATGATAAGTCTTATTTAATGAGATTTACATAAACACCTCGAAGAAATGGCAATAAGAGCATTGACTTTCACCTACCTGCCACTGATGACCCATCTGGACATGAACTGTTGTTCTCTGATCCCAAAGAATGGTGATATGTTCATCAGGAAAATGAACAACGGTGAAAAATCCAGCTTTCCATAACTGCATTTTTTGTACGTGGTCTATGTAACTAGATAAGCTCTGTTCAAAATAAAACAAGGGAGCTTATAATGGAAGCAATGTCTTCATTCACTTCACAGGAAATGAAATGTCAAATAAAATGAACTACCTGGTTCTCAGATGTAAGTTCAAAAGCAGACAGAGGGCCACACAGGGACAAATGCTCAAGCAAAAGGGGTCTGGACTTTGATTGTGAACTGTACTGTATTTTTATAACTTCCTATTTTAAAAGTTGATTATCAAATTTACAGGATGGGTAACGGTAATCAGAGTGAAGGTTAAAATGTTAATGGTTCATCTGGGAGGTATAAGAGTAGTTTTAAGGTTCCTGATTATGATTTTCCCCTCAACTATACCTAATTCCATCTCAGCCACCTGCCTTTTTTTCTGCTATGGATAGGTAATAAAGACGCATGGAACAACATCCTGAAATAAGGAGCTGTCCAAATATGTCCATAGATTACAATCTTGTGTACATAAAGCTTTCTTCTCTTCATCCAATAACAATCAGATTCCAATTTATGGAATCTGGACTAAGATGTCTGGTTTAACTACACAATATCTCAAACAGAGGGATTCAACTTCCTTTAAATAGTCAGTCTATAAATTGTAAAGAGTACCATTTATACTAAAATTACTAGAAATACTAAATATGTACAGCAATACAATTTGCAGTTTGGCCAAAATAAAAATTACATTCAGGCTATAGAGTATACCAGGGGCTGTAATTTGGGAGTTTTTTTAACTGTATAGAAATATTCCTCTTATACGTTCCAGAGCAGACTAAACTCTTAGTTCTAGTGGACTTTAAAACAAAATTCCCACTGACTTCAAAACATCTGGATTTTTTCTAAGATATTAAACAGGAATCAAGTCTAAACAAAAGAGCTACAATATCCCAACTAACACTTTTGTCAAATACAGACAAGATTTTAATATTTCCATTGAACAATACAGATATGATCAGCATTCACAGTAAAGGTATTTACACCTTTGCTACGAAAGTGGCACAGTAAGTTTTTGGTAATGAAAGGAAGAAACACCCATAGAAGTACATACGCTACTTTTTGATCAGTGGTAAAAACCCAAACTTACTGGATTTCCTGTCTCATCATCAAATACTAAAAAAGATTTTCCAACATTAATGAAAATGTTTTTTCTGCAAATGATTCCAGTACTAAAGCAGTCAATATTCTCTATAATAACAGAAAGACTGGTTGAAGAAGTACCCTGAAAAAAAAAAAAGGAATGACAACTTTTAAATATACTAATATAAATATGTATGTATACAAAGTTCGATTAGCAGAAACCTCAGTGTATATTTATTATACTATGTATGATTCAAATTCTAGACAACATCAAAAATGAAAAAACAGTATGTAGGACTCAACAGAATGTACAGACAGGAAATAAGTAGAATAGTAGATTTTAAGAGATAGTTTTAAATCCAGTTTTAGAGAGGCTTTACAAAAAAAAAAAATCTCACCTTAACTAGGTAAACCTTACAAGTTCCAACAAAGTCAAAAGTTAGTCCATCAAACGTTCTGTAATGCCGGTCCCCATACGCAGTACACATCGATGGGCAAGGATGGAAGGTGCACTGAAATGATCCGTGCTGGCAAATGCTGAAAAATGTATGACCAATAACGGTAATATCAGCTGCAAGCCCAGAAAAATTATTACAGCTATTACACTGAGAAGCAAAAAAATAAAAGCCATGCAAGTGTGATGAGTGTGGACAGAAGCATTTTGAAATCTTGTCCAAAAGTAGCATACATAAATTGATTCTCTGGAAAAAAAATGTACATATTGAACTCATACTGTCTATGCTTCTTATTCTGCTAGAATTTATAGGCTCCAGAAAATACAGACATCAAAACAAGAAAAAAAAATATCATCCAAAGTAATACAATTCATTCTCTACTGGCACATCAATAACATGCCACAAGGACAAAGCTTTCTTTTTCAGCTTTTCACTGAACATTTTTTTCTATACAACTTGAATCTTAGAATCAAAAAATAACATGTCCTCTTACTCCAGTCTTTATGCATTCTCTTCTTGAATGAGAATTTCACAGAATTACAGAGGAAACATTTCAGTAGTATTATTTTGTTGTTTAGATTCCTTGAAAGAACCATGTTTTGGGCTGTTGGATTTATTTTTTTTCCTGATGTCTACATATTGTCACCCCCAAACCCTAGACTAACATCTTAGGGGCTTCCAGAATAGTTCAAGTTCTGTCTATGGTCACCTTAAGCATCAAAGGGCTTTCATCACACATATAAGTGATTGTTCAGACTTTCCTGAATTCCCTTTGCTTTGTAAGAGGCTTTGCAGCATTGGATATTATACCTCTTTCTGCATCACCCTCTTGCAATCTAAATTACATTTTCAGAAACTACTTAAGTTTTATAAGTGGATATAATTTTATTTCCTGTATCCACAAGTAATCTTTAAAATGTTATTTTTATGTTTTTAAATGAACTGGATACTTAAAAAACTTCTCTTGATAAAGACAGCAGAGCTGGTGCCTCGATACAGTTTTACTACAGGTATATTTATAAATACAGGTTAAACTAAATACAGCATGTGATGTAATTATGGTACCTAAGTTTACTTCTCAAAAAAAATTGATTTCTAATTTCCTCATTAAATGAATATTTCATATTTTACACCTAATGTATTAATCTGACTTACAGAAATAATGGATAAATTGCTAACATTTGGCATCTCATATACTGAAGCACCAAGCAGTATGAAGTTTTTTCGCAGCATAACATTTTGTCATTATAATTTTTCCTTTTCTGTTTATATTGCTATCACAGAGTCAGAACACCACTGTTTTCAAAAGAGCAGCAAATATCTAGAAAATCTAGGCAGCTCCAAATACTAATATCATCTTCCTCCTGTTCCCTTATCAGGTAACTTGCACCAACATGAAATCTTTGTCCAGACTTTTGAAGACTCTGCTTATCCCGTCATTGATTTGGCACCAGCACTTGCGTTTTGTATAGGTACATATATAAATACACTAAGCACACGGCTAAAAGAAGTTAAAAGTATGATATATGAAGTGTTTGCTGTACCAAAGCACAAGGAGACAGCAGCAGGGCTCGTCCAGCTAACCCTAGGCAGCACCTAAGGCAGGAACCTAATCAAGTTGATCAAGAGAGGGGCAGATGGAAGGAATTATATTTGGACTGAAAGACTAAGTGGTGCTTCTCATGTTCTCTGTGAGACATTAGATTTTAATTTTACTCTTGGCTTATTCAAATCCTCCTCCACATGCTGATCTGTTAAGGACTCACGCAGAAACATTTCTTAACATGTAAAGAGTAGGGAGCTCCTTTTCATACTTTCCTTTTTTCAGGAGTCTTAACATGTTTACAGTCAGAAGGGAGGGATTAAGAGGTACACAATGTCTTCAAAGTCCGCTGCACCAGGTTTGTTTCATACTAAGTGAACTAACATTTAGTTATCAGAATCTAGAGAGCCCCACTCGGAAAAGCAGAACTATCAGCATCTTCCAAACTTCAACGAGCTTTTTAAAAAAACATATTTCCAAGAAGTATTTGTTTAAGAACAGAAGGCCCAATTCAGCAGCCCACAGACACTAACCAGCAGTTGCTCAATGGTCTCAAGATATGACAGCAAACCAGCACTGCACCACCCATCTTACCTTGCACAGCACAGCACCAAAATGCTGTCATACCCTCAGCATCAGAACCCTTTGTGTTAGAACCTTGACAGCACAAGCTAAAAATTTCAGGCACTTGCACAAAACCCAAAAATCGGAAAACCTAGAACCACAGTTCAGTAAGATCCCAGAGCTTGAGTTGAAAGTTCCTGGCACTTCACTGGTAGTTTTGCCAACTTAGGAAATTATTTTATTTGCCATTTTACTGTTCAATAGATAAATCAGACTAATAGTTGTTTTTAATACTACATCTTATGTGAGTAAGATTATATTTAACATCAACGTACACTGATTCTCTGTACTAAAAAACACCAAATTATAACTGCTATGAGTGCCTAAGTGGGTTTGTTTGCACGGAAGTATTCTCATGCTTTGAACATTTCCTTTGACATATCAGATACACCCCTGCATATACATACAGCAGACTCAAAGACTTCATATGTTTTGTATGAAGCAGAGTTTGTTGCAGACTCCCATCTGTCAGCAGACAACTGATTGCCAAAAAGCTATTATCACTTAATCTGTCTTTGCTTCTGGACATGGAAGACTAGAAAAACCACGACAGCCTTAAAGATCTGTACGTGAAGTAATTAGCCTGGCCTGAGAAAAAAAAAAAAGAGAGAAAGCAAAATATCCAGTGTCTTTCTGCCTGCACTGCAGCTGCCTTTGGTGAAGTCTCATACAGATTAAATAGGATCTAATAAACTCTTTCTGATGCAAGCAATCCCACACCAGGTCCAAATGGAGAGGCCTTTGGAAATAAGGGGGTGAATAACCCGGTCGCTTTACCTGCCTGCCCAGTGGAGATGGCTTGTAAGTCGCTTCACCAGTCGACCAAAGGGCTACAAATCTCTTCTAGAGCAGATACTGAGGACCTGACGAGAGGCAGAGGTACGCAGTCAGCACAAGGCTGGAGGGGGCAACGACATCCAGACAAGGTAGTGACTAGTGCTGACTGGAGAAGCCTTCACTGTGCCAGGTTACACTAAGTTGTGCAGGCCAGGAGCAGCAGTTCACCAGGTGACCCCAGTTACATGTTCCTGGTGAGCTACAAGAAGGGGACAAAAGGAAGGAACTGCTCTGCAGAGAATCTGGAGGCTACACCACTACCTCAGTATCTCCGTGCTTGACAGCTGAATTTTCTGGGGCTCTGGTAAGACAAATAGCACTGCTCAGTGCCAGCTTGCAACATTCAGCTGCGGTCAGAGAAGAAAACAGATGGGGACCATCAAGAAAAAAGTATGTTTCAGGATCATGCAGATGTGGAATATTGTCACACTCTTGTAAAGCTTATTAAAATGGTAATGTAACACATTCTACTGAGTGCTCAAGAAAACTTCACAGGGTAACACAGCTGTACCTATATGCTGCATTTACAACACTGGATAGTAAAAGGAATAGGTTTCTGCATGTATTTGAGTGATCCTATCAAACCTTGCCTATTGGAACACCTCCTTTTAAAGCCAATTGATTCATCAGTTATCCACATATGGAAAGTTAGCAATCAATTTATCTGCTACCATGCTCAGTACATGATGTTGCTCAGTACTCTCCTTAAATTATCATTGTAGTGGGTGTATACTTATGGCTACAGGGTTATATTTTGGTTGTTAGACTGCTCAGATTCAATGCTAAATGAGAAAATGAATAAATAAGAAGCTCTAACAATGTCACTAAGGTGTTATATAAGTACTTTTCCTCTACTTTAGGAACACTAGCCATTGAATATTAGTTTAGATGACCTAGACAACAAAAAAACCCACAGTTTTTTCTAAATCGAGCTTTTTTTAAAAGAGAAGAAAATCCCAAATAGTTATTATTTTGTTATGTAAAAGCTCTTTGAAACAACAAACCCTAAGCCAACGTCATTTTAATACCTCTTTGAAGAAATGTAAATACAAAATCAAAGTAAATGATTTACCATAATCTGCTGTGAAATTTATGATTAAAACACATGAAGGAAAAATCAATCTACAAATAAATAACTAAAATGAAATAATCACTTAAAGAGACCTCTGCTTACCAGGTATGACAGGAAGAAATTACTTTGTCACCTGGAAAATATTCCTTTCCTTTCCATGAACATGGACATTCATCTGCATCCAAGCACACTTCCCCATGTTTAACAAGACTGTCAAAAAAAGAACAAAAATGCAAGTTCAGCAGCAGTATAGATGCTATCTAGATACAACAGTATTCTCCTAAACTTTAAAATCACTAGCATTATTAATAGCGAAAAGCAAATAATATTTTAAAACTTCTGAAATTGAAAAGGCACAATTTTATTACTAATTATGTATGAGTAATTTGATACATTCCTTTCACAGGTACCTGAATATGTTATCTTTACTAAGTACCAGGACTTTGGGCACTAGCACTTCAATTACTAATCCTGTGAAGACTGATTCACTAATAAAAATTTTAAGTTCAGGGAAACTAAGAATTTCTAGAAATCCTCTAAATTTCTCCAAATTTCCTGTAAATCAGTCAATTAACTTGTATTTAACTTAAGCCAAGAAATCACTCATGAGATATGGGAGCCAGCATGGCCCTTTGTTCTAGTGGTATATGCTCTTACTATCAAAAATTAGTGGCTTATTTAGTCTAACAATTTTTAAATGAGGATTTCTTCCAGTTCTTTGCTTTTCTCTATCGAATTTAAAGGGTTTTAATTTGCTGCAGAGTTTTCCTGTAGCTGTAGTTACACCTCTTGCTCTGTGAATAATTCAATCAATATCAAAAGAGTTAGCCTGGTTGCATGAAATTGAGTACGTATTTCTGTATGACAGGCACCTTCATGGAAGCAATTACAAATATACTTCATTTTATTGGCATAAATATCCTCCTAGTCTTTAAGGGAGATTTTCATTGAACATAGATAACTATATGCACAGCTATTTACAGTTCAAGACATGCTATAAATTTTTGCTTATAATCACAACTCCTAGAGTAACAGATTTAAAAAAAAACAAAAAACAACCCACAACTGTTAAAAAGATTGCTTTACTAGAGAAAGAACAGAGGAATTCTTGCCCAGCAAGACTAAATAAAGCAACTGGTCTAAATTTTAAAGTAAAATGTTTGTAGCTCTTAATAATACCCAGAAAATCTGAAATATGAGAGCATGAAGTTGAAGAGAGACCTCAAGTGGATTCTACAAATAAATATCAGGAAATACACCAGAAGTATTGAATTATTTTATTAAAAAACTATATTTTCACTGAAGCCAAGAAAGTTGTGTTTCTTCTATTAAAAAAAAAAAAATATTGTAATGCTACTGAATAGGCAAAAAGATACTAATATAGGACCTAAAGGTTCAATAACCAATAGAAGAACATCTGTTAAATCAATCTGCCAAATGACAGTTGTGAAACAAATCCTTGATAAGCTGCAGCAGCATCTTTCACTCCAACTGCTGTGGCTCCAGCTTGTTTTGATCCTACACACGATCCCGCTTGATATAACATAATCAGCTGGAACAACTAACATGCCAGTGACATAGTAAAAGGATTCCTTACAGGCACTGTGCAATCTATGATTATCCTTGTTTCTAACATCTGAAATGTATTTGTATTGAGAAATGAACAGTCCCTGAAAACAGTACTGTTGGGCTCATAAGATTTTTTTTTTTTTCAAGGTGTGCTTAGAATTCCAGTGCATTTCTATAGTAATGTAAGTTTTATACAGGTTTGCCTGTGTTCCTAACAGTTTTCTTAAGAACACAGATTTGGTGTTTCTGACGTGTAGCACTGTAGTTTGGGCAAGAAATCATAGGTGTGAGGCACATGTGTGCCAAACAGGATGACGATACTGTTTTGTTTCCCTGGTATCTAAAAGGAAAGACTTCATCACGGCACTTATCACGGAACATTTTACTTACTCATATTAACGAACTGGTATTTTGGATACTATGACTTCGACTCCTCTTCAGTGTCTTATTTATCAGACAGAAATTTACAACTCTGTAGTGCTTCTTAATGGGAACACACAGAACATCATAAACCCCCTCCCCGATTAAACTTAAAAATTGTTCTTTTCCTCCAGGGTATGTAAATTGTAACCCATATTTATTTCAAGTATTTTGTCACTTGGAGACAATCAACTGTGAGACCGAAAAGCTCCCCAGAACTGAACAGGCCACATTCAGACACAAAGAGATCACACTGACAAGGTAACACTAAATGCAGTTTTTCCCTCATGTTATTACACTGGATTAAAAAAAAAAGATGTGACAACAGCTTTCTCTCTTGTAAAGCCAAGCAAATGGATAGATTTCAGTGATCTAAGAATTCACAAAAAATACCCTACAGAGATGCCTTGCACAGCTCCTCTTTGAAGTATTCGAAATTTTTCTCGATGGTTATACTTACTGCAAAGACACACAGCTATCACACTTCACCACGCTGAATGTTCACTTCCATTATTATCTCATTGTTACCTGTAGCTTTCTTCACTCACACAAAGATATGTAAATAGTCTTGGAAATAATTACTGGCATCATTAGAAGCAACATGTCACCTGTGACTCACCAAACCCTTCTTTGTTTCTGCAAAGCACAGAGTTCTGGACCAAAACACAAAAAAATAACTCTCTCCCAGCTTCCAGCAGAGCAGTTTTCAACAGGTTATGTATTGCACAAGCTCCCTCCCCTCTCTCAGGCAACAGCCTACTGTCAACTGATTCTTGCAGCCATGAATACTTTTGCCCCAACAACAAATTTGCTCTCTGATGGTTTCACAAATCTTCCTACAAACGTCTATAATAAGAGTTTAAGAGAAGTAAAAAAGAATGAAATAAGCAACAGGTAGCATTTCTAATACCAGAATTCCAACACCACCCCTGACTTGCCTAACCAGAAAAAAAGATGAACAAATTTTGAAAGAAAAGCAGATGTTAAGAACATTATTGTAGCACCCAATGGCTTAATTGTTGTTCCCTCACTGTCTAGACAGGGAGAGTTACTATAATCCAGTTGAGTGTTTTCTTTCTTGTTAGGGAGCTCTTTATAGTCCACCTCTTCTTCCCCTTTCTCCTAGCTTATTATACCAAAATATTAAGTAATTTTGTAGAATGCTTGGAAGGCTTTTAGTATCCTTGCTATATCCTTCACTGTTAATGACTGATTTTGATGCTTTAACTGACACTGCACTTGTGCAGCTTTGTCCTGGATTGGGAAACTCTCCTGCAATCAACTGTACCATTGACACCACACTGGTGCTAAGCAGAGCAGGCCCTAAACAGAAATGGTAGTAGCAGCTTAAAGACCAAAGGTATGTGAGAGTAAGAAAAACAAGAGCAAGAAGTAGATGACAGGGATTCATCCAGCTTCCCATATTCTGCAACCTTTCCCACACAGGCACCTGAAATTTGGCTCATCCATTGCCTGTGCTTCCTCTAAAGTATCCTCAAACAGAAAGAAGTTTCTGCCATCACACACCAAAATTATGTTATACTTAGAGCTGCATAAAACGTGGGTATGGGTTTCAATGCAACATCCTGTGTTTCATCCTAATTGCCTTCAAGAACGCTGTGGGTACAATTCAGTGCTAAAAATCATGTAATGCAGGACTCCAGGGGAAATGGAGATACCAAAAATTGCTGTTTGTGAATGGCCAAGAGGATACTACAAGCTTTTCCTACTCTGTCAGCACCAGTTCTTCTGAAAAGAATTGCATACTCTGGGGGGGACATGAACATATTTTTATTAATTATGCTTCCGGGGGAAATCAATGTATATTTGCAGATACAGATCAAAGTATATTCCTTGACTCCAAATTCTGAATCCACAGTAAAAGAAGATGGTAACTTATGTGTCAGATGACAGAATTCAGTTGTATAGCTGAAGCAGTTTTCAACAAAGATTATTTAACCAGAGGTGGTGGGACAATGGACTTGATCATCACTGACAGGAAATGACACCACCTCTTTTTTTTTTCTTTTTTTTTCTTTTTTTTTTTACAATTAGACCAAGTATCTGCTTAAATTTTAGTGGAAATTAAAAATTAAACAAAACAAACCCCAAAAAGATGGCTTGACTGATTCAAAATCCTCAACTCCTCTCAAAGAAACTCACAAGAAGTTAAACACACTAATGGTATTTTAGTATAACATTTTTCTGATTTAATTAACAAGTTTAGATAAATAACACATTTTTGTAATAAAAATAATTTCATAAAGTAACTACAAAGGTAACAGAAGTATTCCTTTCAAACCAAGTGACAGAGTTCAATGCTTCTCTTAAAAACAAGTCAGAAGACAGACAGTAATACGAAAAGGTGCTCAAGAATCTAAATTATGCTGGTGAAGTTTCACCATTAATTGAATACAAGTATAGAAAAAAACCCTAGAGATTTGTTTGCAGACAGTGTAAACCAGAAAGTAAGCAACCAAGAGGGTTTTGGAAGTATTGAAAGAGGAAATAAGGAACACTGAAATGTATCAAAGAAAGCTGCAAGTCCGGCGAGAAGGAGAGGATGGAAAAGAACTGGGTTGTCTTGTGATGGCACTGCAATAGGTGTATTCTTTGGAAATGAGCTCCAATCCAGCACCTTTAGCATCCTGTGACTGTACAGCCATCAGAAATGGAAAACAGCATAAGATTCAGTGTGAACACTGAAGCACCCAAATACAGGAATGTTGATGTAGTCCTTGTAACAGAATTGTATTTTCCTGAGGAAATAGTGGAGTGCATAGCTGTGATGGTATCCATGGAGGGATTTGCCTGGAAAACATTAACTCTTCCTGACAGACCTCTCCAAAACACTGCCTAAACCAGATGAAGCAAAGTATTAAAAATACTTAGCCCAATAGCAACAACAGGGTCATCCAGAAGAGAGGTAAGAACAGAACACATTTTTTATTTTATACTAAAAACAGTAAATTCTGAGTTTAAACTGAGGAGGAGTAGGCCTTTTGAAAAAAGATATAAAAGCACAGGACTTTGATTTCATCTACAGAGACATATTTTAAGACATAACACAGTCAACATAATTACTTCAATAAAGATAGTTTTCTAAAATATTTGAAACTCAACTGCATTCTTCCTCCATTACTAGGTTTGTTTGTCCATTGGCATGTTTATAAGATGACAAAATTCATTGTTTCCTTTGTGAAAATTAGAAAGTGATGAGT